TCCCAGAGGGTCCGCAAACAGATAGCATTGGCTGGTTCAGAATCTGAGTCGGTCAAAATATTTTTCCTTCAGTAAATGTTGGTTGCCCTTCAACGCTTAACTCTTTACCATTTCAGTTTTAGCTCAGTTAGCTTGGATGAAGTTTTTCTTGTATCGCTTTAGGTTATAGTAACAATGCAATAAGTCGAAATCGTTAATTGCTTATGTGATATTTTTATAATATAGACTGCGCAAGCCTATTTGGACAAGCCTGTAGCCTGATCGTATACTTTGCTTTACATTGTCGATTTCGTCTTTAATAATATAATAACTTATTTACTTCCAAGTAAAATTTCTCTTAATTTTAATTATTCCTCAAGATGTTTCTCATAATTCCTATTAGCCTTTTGATTTTGGAGATTTATTTTAGAAATTTAAAAATGTTTATGGTATCTGCATCAATTTTAACCCTAAAAGTAAATTCCCCCTGCAAAAATTTTTTAGAAAGGCAAAAGGTACAATATTTTTTCATGGAACTCCCACCGATAAATCAAGCAAATAGAAACCCCACTGGCTCTGTTCGCTCTTGGCGAGCTTCCACTGTACTATTTTTCAATCCCAGGGAATGCATAGCCTGCAACGGGTTTTTATTAAATTCCGCAATCGAATTGCAGGCATTGCCCCGCATCCCCGACCGCCGTATCCTGGTCAGATCCTTATGAACTTTTACAGAGCCATTATATGCAAATGATGAGAGCGGAGAAAGCAAATATTGCTACCTCGGGCACTGGCCACAGTGGGGAAAACGAAGAAGTCGAGCCAGGACCATACACACGCACTGCCATTGTTTGTCCTGCCTGGCAGGATGAAAATGCGGATGAGGATGGTCCACAGTTCGGGCTCATGTGCAGACATTTACATAGGCAAACAGCTTCGGATGCCGGCTCCTTTCATCTACTGCCCTGTTATTCTGGTATCCTGGCATCGTAGCTTCCTTGGTGTCCTGGCACAAACTACTAATAAACCAAAGACGGGCAGCAACAACAACAATGGCGCTGGCAGCGGATATTAAGACTGAATCGGCCCCGAGGATCCAAAAAAAAAGCGGCTCGCCCATAGAAAAAGGCCAACTCCCTAACGAGGCTAACTTTTTGCCAAAGATTAAAGATGTCCGGCAATAGTGTAACGATACGGATACAGGGACCTGCCCCAAGGTCCCAAACTCTCCCGCCCATCATCTGAAAATTCAGGATACCCAAAACCGATGACAGCTTAAACAAGCACCGCCAGGGGCCGCTGCAGCAACAGATGAACTGTGGACACTTTTTGGAGAAGCGCCTGAGGCAAAATGGAATCGAACATGATTTGTCGCCTATTAACAGGCACAGTGGTCTAAATGGTTTAGACTTTTAATAGGAATTCGAAAATTTGTATAGTTTGTATAATTTAAATATAATTTACTGAATAGTATAATAAAGAAAGCTAACAAGTGTTTTGTTCAATACTGACTACTTTATAAATAACATGATTTACATCCAATTGCATGCTGAAGGACTAGTTTTCTTAAATCAAATATTCATCTTAGGTATTTCTTAACGACGCCAAAAACGCTGTCTGAGACCATTTGCCGTCAGAAGTTTCGACTTGTTAGCAATTATGCTCGCGTGTCATCCTATAACAAGGGGCGATGAGTTCGCATAAGAGGCGGTGGATCCGCATATATTTTCGTGTCATATGTGCAAAAGTTTATTCTACTTACTCTACCGCTCATTCTTTTTCACATTCTGCTATACACACCCCCTTTTAGTTACTTCAACGAAGAATATTTCTTGGTATTTCTGTGTCCTTTGCAAATTTAATCACTTAACCCCAATGAAGTATGAAAGGAAACTTTTGTCGCCCACAGAAAAAGTTGACAGAAGAAAAAGCAGCAGCAGCAAAAAGAAGAGCGAAAGTCACTTTTCTCAAAGCTAGTGCACAGAAAAAAATGTATTATATATCAACTGCTAGGAAAAGAAGTAGTTATTTAGATCGGAAAAAACTATATAATATTTTTTCTTTCTATATCTTCTTTGCCATACCTTGGCTTTAGGATTTTTAAGTTTTTTGAGGAAAGTGTTATTAAACCATTATTCAGTATTGAATTGTAAGATACTAACTTTAATTAGACATTTTTGTTAAAGTGTGGGTTATGGGGAAATTGATTTTTGACTTGGCAAAGGTCGCAGCCTGAGCATATTAATTCCACTCAAACCCGAACTTCAACTCAGGCAAGAACCAAAGGATACAGGAACAGCTATTGTGTGCCCTGTTGACATTCTGCATGGTCGTGTATGTGTCTATGTATATGTCTGTGTTGGCGTATATTAAGTGTGTTGGTGAGTGTGTCAAGGCGCCCAAATGACAAAGTTACTGAAATTACCCGAAAGCAAAACTTTCGCTGAAACTGCTGCTGCCGCTATTGATGCTTCAGATGTTAGGATGCTCCTTCTGCTGCTTACAGTAAGGCCTCGTTAAATAATAAAATTACGCCAGTATCGCTAATAAGAGTCCTTTAAATATATATTTATCTGTAAGATAATTACAGGCTTTTACTAGTTTAACCATATTAAATCCAAATACAAATGCCTAAAAACGTTCCCTACTATGTGAACACAAAATTCATTAGAGTTCCCTTAGAAAAGATATACTATATACAACATTAGAATGAAATTCCTATATCTGGGGAAATGACTGTTGTAAATTTTTTGGCTACGCCAATGCTTTTGGAACACAGTTCCATTTGCAGATCGACTCTTAAGCAGAATTAATGAGAGAAGAGCACGGAGTTAGGATGTTTGTAACCTAAATTCGCTGGAAAACCAAATAAAAGTAAAGTTTTTCTATTTGTTTTCCGTTCTCCTGTATTTATTTTACCTCTTTTTCGTGCGCATTTTTCTTTGTTTTTGGATGCCGGCCAGCTCGTGCACCAAAGGAGTTCATTTCGCATTGAGGACATGGTGCTTATGGGGAGAATCTCTACCAAAAACTTCACCCATGCAGTCTCATTAATGTCCTTTGGTTTCTCCATCCGTTGCTCCTTTGACTTGCCCTCGCAAGCTGACTGTCATTTGTTGCAACTTTTCCTGCAAATTGTGGCAAAGTACTTGCTGCAAGTGGCTGCTTAAAGTACTCCGTATTCTCTCACCTGTCGGTGTGTCATTGTGCATTTCCATGGTTACAGGGAGACATTTATATAAAGGTACATACATGAGTTCGAATATCCTGGCAGCTGTGCAATTCATGTTTATTGGCAATCTTGATGTCAGCTTTGTTGTTTGCTTCAACATAAGCCTTTTAAGACGTTTAATTCTTCTGGGCTGTTAAACATCTATTTATAAATGGTTATATTTTTAAATAATTTAAATAGAGTTCGACTTATACTGATTTAAATACTTGGGTAGTTTCTTATTTCCTAATATTATAGACCAAAAAAAGACCAATTAGTTGATTATAACTTAAAGAAGGCTAGAGGTTGTACAACTTCAACGACCTCTGTTTACTATATTTAATGGAACTCTGTTAATATATTTATCCAATCCCCTTGACCTTCAACCTTCTGACATTTTACGTGCCCTTTAAATTACTTATCCTGCAGAGTAATTCATTCACTTTGAATAGCTTATCAATAAGTTAATTGAAAATCAGTGAAAACGTCGATGTCACAAGGTCTCTCATCATATTTTGACCACAGAAGTGTTTCTATCATCGTCTGGGCATGACACTGCACTCGACTCAACTCAAGTTAACTCATCTGGAGCGACAACAATTGCAAGTCATAGCGATGGATATCGGTAAAGATAGGGATTTGTACCCATTCAGATTGATATGAGCTTGTGTGTGTTCTGCCTTTTCCTTGCCTGTATGTACAACAATATCCTCTCACATTTTATTACACTTGTAATGTGCAACGATTGGCTGGGAAAACTGTGGGCTGGAAAAGCCAAGGGACAATTCATGTTCGGGCGGTGTAATAATGTGGATCACGCCGAAAAGAGTGGGTGGGCGTGAGTGGGTATTTGTCCCATATTCCTTATACTATATATCTCAGCCCCGCCCACAGTGTGTGAGCTTGTTTCATTGTCAATATTGACAATAAACAAGTTTGCCATAAAATATAACAAGACTCGACAAAACGAGTCGTGGGGCCAGTGGTAAAAGCTACAGAAGTTTTCCGCCCCGCCCAACTTAATATATATGAATCGGAGACCCTTTCAATCATGTCGCCGAAGCAAAACAACATTTCCTGTCAACGCATTGACTTATTAATATATTTAATAAAACGTAACAAGACCGCACTGATACGCACCACTTTAACACATTAAACGAAAAAAAGTTGCGAAATGAAACGGTGCAAAATGTTTATTTTAAATTATATCAAGTATATATTATTCACAAAAGGGTTTGGGATGAGTCCATCGCTCATTTTGCTGGCCAGTTGACACGGGCTGGAGTGAAAATAAGCTTTGGTAATTAATTAAAAATTTCCAGCTACATAAATCAATCAGGCGTCTACCATCTGAATCCCAACCCCAATTAAAGTTTTTAAGCACCTGAAAAAACAAAACAAAAATAAAATTTAAAAGGTTTACATTTTTCGATTTGCTTGCCAGCGAGTTCATGCATTCATTTTTATTGAATGTCCTCTTCCCGAAGGCATTAACATTTAATTAAGTAATTCAACTCTCGTGTGTTTCAACATGATGGAAGTATCAACAAATAATATATCAAAATATATATGTGGAAAACGACATAAATAAATAAGGTAGAAATGACTATAAAAGCTTTTAAAAATATTATTAATATTTCTGCAATTGTGAAATCTGAAACATCAGGCCTTGTATTTGGATATTAATATTATTTAAAAAGTAATCTAATACACAATTCCCCTTCATGAAAAAAATATACCCTGAATCCTGTAAAGTTATATGGTTAAACGCCCTTTTAATTCATTTACTCTTATTTCCTTAATTTAATTCCAGATTTCAGCGTTGCTGGCCTGAAACTGACCGAGGTTCGCATACCGATGTACGTGATTAAGGGTACCGCGGCGCAATTGGAGTGTCTGTACGATCTGGATGGCGAGGCCCTCTACTCCGTTAAATGGTATAAGGATGGCAACGAGTTTTACCGCTATGTGCCGCGGGACATGCCTCCTGCTCAGACCTTCCTGCTGCCTGGTGTTAGCGTCGATGTGAGTATTGCATATACACCCCTTTTATAACTGAGAAAAAGAACAAAAGCACAGTTTCTGCCTTTCCTGGTGTCGTACTAAAACTAAACATTAAAAACAACGTTGCATACTTTTGTGGTGCCTGCCGAAACAACACAGCAGTGCGGCAGCTTTTCTCCTACACCAAAGTCTTTTTATCTTTACATAGAAAGAAACATTTAATTATAGTACCAAGTAAATTCAACTATTAACACATTTAAATATATTTAAGATTTATTTATTTAATATTTCTTTAAATATTCTTTTTAAATTCTTAAATTCTTAAATAACTCTTTTTTAGTCCTTATATATATTTGTTTCAATGTTGGTGATTTGTCAAAATACATTTTTTCTGTGTACATATTTTCCCTCTTCTCCTATGGTCTCCATGTGTGTTGAAAGAAAGCCGAGTTGTTATGGTAAAGGTGATTGGGGACAGAAAAGCAAAGGCAGCAGGAAGGATAGGTGAGTTCTTGTCTCAGTAGACAATACGATATCTTTTGAGAGGAGACTAAAGAACAAGAACTAAAGAACAAAAGAAGTTTCAGACCAAGCTTTGGGTTCTCTTAGTTGGGAGTTTGGATAGCAAGGCAGGCAACTTGGCCTTCGTTTCAGATCCTTAAATTACATCTTAAAAATGTTAAAGAAGCTGCAAAATAAATAATTTTCTTTAAATTATTTTTCGTTTTGAAACTAATTACCTAATGAAGCCAGTTATCTGTTAAATAAATTGCAAGTGCCAAGTTTGTGGATAGCAAGAAACTAACACGACAAAGATATTTAAAAACTGCCTGAAGCTTAGTTATTTAAGATTATTATATCGCTTAAAAACTTTTCAATGCCAAAACTTCACCTTCACTTATCTACTTGGTGCGTTGTACTATATTTCTGCAAAAGATCCACACTAATAAAACAACACATACACTGGTATATATACCTCCTAAAAACTAACAAAGTTTTTAGTTTATTATGTCTTAAATTTCCTTTGTCTTAGGCATTAGCAATCTTACCTTACATCCACTTCGTGGAACGCTTCAAGCCAAGTTAAAAGTTTTAAGAGCTGATACAGATGGCATGTCAAACATATGCCAAGAAAGATAAAACATTCGCAGATCGAACTGTTTAATCGACCGCAAAAATAGAATGAGTTCGGGGCACTTCTACTGGCGTTGCTCCATTATTTTAGCCACTAAAACTTTGGCACGTCACAATGCACTAGACGTTAACCCACCGAAGCCCCCCGAAACCGCTGGAGAAGCGGAAAAGGGAATGCTGTGGGTGAAAAAGGGGGCTGAGAAATGCCAGCTATAGATAAGCACGTGAGCAGACAATCGCAGCCAGTTGATGGTTACATTCGACATGCCATGCTCCCTTTTCCTTTCGCAAAATTCCACAGTTTCCCCGCATTTTCCTCTAATCGGCTACCGAAAAAGTGAAATCTGCTTTTCCATGCATGCATCCCGCTCCAACTCAGCCCGTCTCTGTCGCTCGTTAAGTGCAATAAATATTTCAAGTTGCGCTTTTGCGTTTGCTGGCAGTAGTGGGCGTGGTCGCCGGAGTGTCCATAAAGCGCGTTGCCATCGCCGCAGAAAATTCCACACTCTGTGCGATCCATGCTTCACATTACCGCTAAACGATTTCCGTTCGGTCTTACAGTGGATTCTGAATCAAATTTTGTTCACAAAAATGAATGATAGTAAAAAAAGGCTAAAAGCTAGTTCACCCTGATCTTTCGCCTTAAGTAAGTATTTTTACCATAGTAAAGCCAAAAATGGTCGAAATCTGGAATGTTTATACCTCGTTGAGCTTGTAATTCAATTTCTAATAAAACTTCATTCAGACTTTAAAATAGAAATTTTTGTCCATTTTTAGCAATATTAGACTTTCCAAAAGTTTTTTTTTCCCATCAAAAATTAACATTCAACAAAGTTTAGAGAATCGATTTTGACCTCGTTGAGCTCGTAATTTAATTTTCCTGATAACTGCATTCAGGAATTTTTTCTAAATTCAAAGTTTAGAGTTATTTTAAGTCGACCCAAACAGATTTGCCAATTAGATCAATTTCAAGCACTTCATTCAGGTATGCACCCACAGTGCGCTGCTCATTTCGCTGCTTGGCGGTAAACTTTTTGATGTTGCGGATGGGAAGGATGGGAGGGAGCACGATGGGAGTTACAGAAGATGCCAGTTAGCGATAACCAATTGATGTGAGTGTGTGTTCTAGCTCCGTTTGCTGGATATTGTTTTAGCATAATCGATTTGAGTGACTGCGGTGGGGAGATATACGAGTATGTGTGTATGAATGTAGGATGGCAGCCCTCTGCCTAGTGCTGTTGCTGTTTTGGGTTGTTTTATTGCAGTTGGCCAATAGTTGGATGTTACTCCGGCCAACTTAGGATCTAGACGTGCGGTTTACCTGGGCTCAACTCTCTCTGATGTCCGTGTGTTTATGTGGTAAACTATAAATTAGGTTAAAACAACAAGAAGCGGGGGTGTTTGAGACGGCAAAGAATGCGCAATAAAAGATAACAAAGTGCACTTTTCTGCTTGGCCAGATAACAAAGTGTGGGCGGAGCGAGGCTTTCGAGGGTTAAACAACAGGCAGCTGATCTCCTTAACCCACCCATATCCCCGCCCACATTGAGACCCGGATTTAATGGCTTAAAGTTCAAGTGAAATATTTGCCTAACCCTTTGTCGGTCAGACATTCAGCGCTGACCCTTCGAGGGGGTTTCTTTTTAAGGTGCAGGAGGCGTTGGACATCTCGGACATTTAAAAGGCATTTACGGACAACAAAAAACAAGATGGGGAAGTAAAAAAAGAAGGCCAACGTGAAAAACAACCGAAGCTGCGGCAGTTTTCAAAAGCAATTACGTTACATTAACGTCCAAAGTGGCTGCAGGAGCCATTTCCCCTCGAAGCCCCCTTTTCCAACGCCCTTGGCTCAGGGTATTGAAACTGCCAATGACAACGCCAAGAGTTCCAGTAAAAAAGGGGGGTTTGTCCGGGGCTACTGCAACTTTCTGCCCACTTTTCGTTACATTAATTTTAACCAGCCTTCTCCTGCGTCGCCATCACTCAACAAATTCTCTCGATTCAACGACGTCTCTTTTACCCTAATTACGGGTTGTTTTATTTTACAAAGAACGTGTTGTTTTATTAAAATTGATTTCCTGAGAGTAAAATCGTAGATTTTTTAAGATTCTTTATTTTTATACCCGTTACTCGTAGAGTAAAAGGGTATACTAGATTCGTTGAAAAGTATGTAACAGATAGAAGGAAGCTTTTGCGACCCTATAAAGTATATTTATTCTTGATCAGGATCAATAGCGAAGTCGATTGAGCCATGTCCGTCTGTCCGTCCGTCCGTCCGTCCGTCCGTCCGTCCGTCCGTCCGTCCGTCCGTCCGTCCGTCCGTCCGTCCGTCCGTCCGTCCGTCCGTCCGTATGAACGCTGAGATCTCAGGAACTATAGCAGATACAAAGCTGAGATTAAGCATGAAGATTCTTGAGGTCCCGGGACAGCGCAAGTTTATTACAGCATCCTGCCACGCCCACTCTAACGCCCACAAATCGCAAAAAACTAAAATTGCTGAAATCTCAGGAACTATTGCAGTTAGAAAGTTGAAATTCTTATAGTGGTACTACTATCCGGCCACACCCACCCATACGCCCACAAGGCTCAAAAGACGGTTTTCGGATTTTCTAGAAAAGCTGATATCTCGGTAACTATAAGAGATAGAAAGTTCGGATCAAGCATGTATGTTTCTATAATGCTCCCAATGCGAATTGTTTTTTTCCAATCACGCCACGCCCACTCGAACGCCCACAAAAACCCGAAAAACCAAAAATGCAAAAATCTCGAAAACTATAAAAGCTACACAATTTTGCTTAAGAACACGTATTTAGGAGATGCCTCTGCAACTTGCCACGAAGTTGCATCCGGCCACGCCCACTCTAACGCCCACAAACCGCGGAAAACTGTGGAGTCTATAATATTATTATGAATGCCTTCGTTTGACCTTTTGTGTAACTTATTTTTGTTAATATCTATCGACTTACAAAAAAGATTTTTCAAATCGGAACATTATTTCGCTATTTATGAAGAAATTAAGGTTATAAGGCTCCACATGGGCAGTGACGTCACTATAAGCATACTCAACATACTTCCTCTGACAATAGGTGGCGCCTTGTGAATTTCCACTAGCAAAATTTATATTTTAAAATTGTGTAAAACAGTAACGGGTATCTTATAGTCGCGGCACTCGACTATAGCGTTTCCTCTTGTTTTAGCATTATTTAGACAACTACTTATATTAATGTTATTATTCTTTCCTTATTATTATTAATATTTCAGAAAACAATGCAGATTCTTAGTAGATAAATGTTAAAATAAGTTAACTTCTAAGAGTACTATAAACTTCCCCAAATAAATTTTACATTAACTTACGAATTTTTTGATTGAATCTCTTAGTGCCTAGGGCATTCAATATTCCGATTCACTAACTATATTTCCCCATCTGATATTCCCCCACCTTCTGACCGTTATTTTCTGCTCTCGTTTTTAATTGCAGTTGCACAACTCGAGCGACGCGACTGTTACGCTGCGCAACGTCAATCTGCAGTCGGCGGGCCGCTTTCGGTGCGAGGTTTCTGGCGAGGCACCCTCCTTCCAAACGGTCACCGAGCACGGCGACATGACTGTTGTGTGTAAGTAGCATGTATATATATCCCCACATTTCTCCCTACCACTACAGTCTATATAAAGGAGAATCGGGCGAAAACTTATAACTCTAATTAGAAATTGCGGCCATTTGGCGCTGACTGTTCCTGGCCCAGATGCTGTGGCTAAAAGTGGGAAAAGGGGGTCCTGTCGGTGGGTAACTGACGCTGACTTTGACTTTTACTCCTGAAAGTTGTCACAGAATGGCAGCAGTCACGATTAACCCTATAAGCGCATGTATAAATTAGGGTATTTAGGATTCTGAAAATGTTCCAAAGTGTTTTTCATTTCGTATGAATGATGTCAATTTTAACATTTCTATTGAATTTTTTTATTTCATTAATTTTATCTCTTTTTATTTTCTTTTAATTCTTAATATTTTAAGACAGAATTTTGAATTCTGACTCTTTATTGTAAAAAAAGAAAATCTCTATTAAACGGCTTTTCGTAATGAAAAAACGAATTCCAAGCTCAATAATCACTTTAAGGTTAATCCTGCTGATGGAAAGTAATTAAAAAGCTGGGATAAATAAAAGGAAAACGTGTTTCGGCCACGGTTGATTGAAATTCTGAAAGGAAAACTTTAATTTGAATATTTTGCCTTAAAAAAATGAATTGAAGGAAATCGAAAATTTTACGCTTTGTTTAACACCTAAGCCATAAAATCGCCGACAAAAGTTTGTCTTTTAAGCTAAGAAACTAATCGGGTAAACACACTGAAGCCCGTTAATCGCCGACCAATAGATTTCCATGCCGAGCCATTGACTTAAGCTTGGCCTTGGCCCCGTTAACTTACTTTTGCCCCGAACTGTAGCTGTAACTTCACCTGATTCCAGCAGCCTGACCCAATCAGCTTTATTCAATCGGAATTGTGTTTACTTAGTCAAAAAGCATTCGCAGTGCATTTGACAGGCTTCATTTGATTTCATGCTTCTAATGCCAAATAAGCTTACTGAACTTCCTTCAAACACCCACATTCACCCCAGGCAAAACTTGTCAGAGCTTAACAGTTTAACTCAATTTTGGAAGTTGTCTGTCCCCGGGTCCATTGGCTCTTGTCTTGGCCAAAATTCCTGCAGGGCAATGCCAAAAATTTCCTCAAGACGCCGCCACACAAATGAAAATGCAAACAAAACAAAAACTAAAGTATGAGCTTATAGGTACGAGTTATTATCTCTCCATCCCATTTTATGCACAGAGAGAAAGATATATTTATTAATTTGAACATTTTTAATAAAATTAAATAGCTTGAAATAGAAGTACACATGCAATCTGCCACTGACAAAGTTTTTCATATTATGGATGATGAATATTAAATAATTTGTTTTAAATGTTTTAAAATTTTGGCTATCTTGTTGTTGAGATGAAACCATCTATATCATTGATGGCTACTTTTAATATTATTTCCACTAATATAAAAAATAGTTTCAAAAACCAATCACTTTTGACAGTGTATTTCAAACCTCCTGTATCCCCACTCACCATTACACGTGCAGTGCGAAGCGCTTTGAACTGGCGTTGACATTTCGTTTGTTCAATTATAAAACTTTTGCGTGGGCGTGCCAACACGCCCCTTCTCCCTACCAGAGCGCCCCCCTTTTTTGCAATGGCTGTCTCCCTTTTATTGTTTAACGTGGACTGTGTCTTTGTTCTAACCGGGGGCTTTGTTGTGCTTTTGTTTTCTGGCTTTCGGTTGTTTTGTTGCTGCTCATACTGCGGTCCCGTCCCGGCTGGTTCTGTTTGGCTTTCAATCAAAGTTTTTAAAAGCTTCGGCAACAGAACGAGCCGGGCATATGGCATTGCTCACAACTCACCGCCCACAGCCCACCCATTCCGGAATTCACCCACAGATGCCTTTTTCGGGGGCCGCTTTGCCAAGCAACAACAAGTCGAAACCATTTCCGTTTCCGTTTGCAGAGCCCGGAGATCCATAGAGATTCCTAGGGATCTCTCGTTATGGTCGTTTTAACTGTTTGGTTAGACTTAGATTTGTTTTGGGGCTTCAGGCTCTGCTGTATATAAATTTAGCAGGAAAAGTTGTCCCGTCCATAAAAAAAAATCTGAATATAAACTAATTAAATTACTACTTAAAGAAGGACTCTTGATTTGTTTTAATAATTTTATAATTGTCAAAACAACATTTAAAGTTTTTAAACTTTTACCAAAATAAGCAAGAAAATGTTAAACCCATTCTTGTAAACATCTTTAATTTATTTTACTGTATTTTTCAGAGTGTTGACACTTCAGCCAGACCGTTTTTATTGGTATTCCTCTATTTTTATCGTACTTTTCATTCGTTTTTGCCTCTTTGCCATTTTGTCCAGAGTCCGTCAGTGCATCAGCGGCTGGAACTTTTATTGAATTTCCGGCTGCGCTCCGTTGAGTTTGTTGTCCCTTTGGAGCGGTCCCTGCTCCCTTGTTGTTTCTGTGGTGGCTTAGGTTTATTGCAAAATTCAGTTACAATCTCCCGCCCGGCCACAGTCACCGCGAAATGCCGGCGGCCGTAAATGAAATTTCCCTTGGTCTGATTTTGTTGGCTGCCTTAAAACTGATGTTTTTTACTTATTTCAATTTGATTTCTAGCACTTCCGGACTCCGAACCAAAAATCAGTGGCGGACGACCGCGTTACCAGATCGGTGACTATGTACGACTAAATTGCACCGCTGGACGCTCTAAGCCCGCCGTTAAACTATCCTGGAAAGTAAATGGAGAACCAGTTGAACTGCAGAAACTTCGCAAATATGACAACATTGTATCGGGTCGAGAGGGTCTGGAGACCTCTATACTGGGACTACAATTCCGGGTGGAGCAGAAACATTTCCGCAATGGCGATATGAAACTTAAGGTGAGTAGTATAATTTTTTATATTTAACTGTCGAACTTTTTTGGCTCATAACAATCACAAAATCAATTTAGTATACAGTTTGTGAAGATTTAAAAAAAATAACCAAATTTTGTAATTTTATTTTAATTTGTAATGTTATTAAAGTTTTGTTTTGCTTAATTGGTGTTTCATTATTCATATTTTCTTATTTTCAGTTAAAAATTATAATTATGTTTTCAGAATTTTTAAATCTTTAAAAATGTATAAGTTTTATTATATTCCAGAAAAAAGGCTTTTAATTGCCTTATACCTAGAAATAATTCTAAAAATAAATATTAAGACTTCGTATACTTTTTTTTTGTATGACCGGATTGTAATTGTTTTTGGCACTTTGGAAGTCTAGAAAGTTCGACAGTATTCCATTCCAATAGTTAGCTAACCAGAATTTGTTGGATCTTGCAGTGCGTAGCCGAGTTGTCGACCTTGTACTGGCGAAGCAATGAGGAGTCCGTGGAGGGCGACCGGCCGCAGAAGGCGCCCGCGCTCGAGTCCCGGGAAACGGTCTATGCCAGCAACTCGCGCGCCGATCCCGTCCAAGGTACGTCTTACCGGGAATTATTTGTGACCAAAATCTTATCGCTCTTGTTCGTCCATCCAAATGCAGCCAGTTCCACGGCTCCGCCGCAGTCGACTCCTGCGCCCCTCCTTCTTTTGTTGGTGGCGTTAGCGGTGGTGGTGGCATCCCTGGCGAAGGATAACGCCAAAGATATAGATAAGATATCGTTGGATCGGACAGCAACTGGAGGGATTGGGATAACGGGAGGAACCCAGGAGGCTAATGAGTTGCTGGCTGACCGCGAGGAGGAAATTTACAGGACGAGAGCAGGAAAATCCGCGACGCAGCTGGAAAAAATGGCATTGACTGTACGGTAGCTGCATTAAGCCACAAGGCGACTATTTCCCTCCACAATACACACACACTTTTCACCGATTTTTCCGTCTTCGCTTTGCATAGAAAAACAAACAAAAGAAACTCACTGAAAATCAAAAACAGGAAATGAACAAAAAAATATATATGAAAATCAAGCAAATCGAAAGAAATTCAGCTTATTTATTTATGCCGTTAACAAAAGCTTTCATGAATTTAATTTTTAACAAAGGAAAACAAATACTATCTAGAGCATAAATTACAATTACTTGTGTGAGAACGAGGAAAATTGTATGTGGAAAAGCGTGCAAATGTTTTAACTCTCTACGGAAATGTTAAAATTCGTGTCGAAAGAATAAACCAACTGTAAATAGTTAATGTTTAATATATATATTTATGTAACTGTATTGTATGTTATTAATTGTTAAGCTCACTCACAAAAAAAACAGAATTTAAATATCACCAGAACGGAATAGAAGGGAAAATGAATGGAAAATCCTTCAAGAAAAGTTGGTCAAGGCAAAATACGAGTTTAAAAGAAAAATGAAAATAATTATAACTTTGTAGGAAAAGTATTGGTAAGAATATCTTAGCTAAGTGGAGATTAAGAAAGGTTTTAAGAAAATATACAGGCTGAATTAAGTGTATGTTTTACAGTCCTTAATGAAAGTATAATTTATAATATGTGTCTAAAATAAACGTTAGCAGTTTAATAAAAGATAAAAAAAAATTATGATAAAAAATCTGTAATAACTGGTCTTTCGTTAAGTACTGTAAAACCACGCAAGTTCATCCAAAATAAAAAAAGATGTCTTCTCTAAATAGATGATTTTTCTATAAAATTTTCGTTGTTCGGTGAGCATGAATTAAAAGTTGTAAAATTGTAATTATTTAATAATGAATAATGCTACAGATAAGAAATCACATAAACACAAACCAAAAAAGCACTTAATTTAAAAAACAAAAAAAAATAAAAAAAAAACTCGGAAGAAGAGAAAAACTAATCAAAGTTAGAAATTACAACTTGGTGACTGTTGGAAAAGTCTTAAAACTAACAAAAACATATCGTACATTTATATGAATTGCCAAAGTCTTAATGGGTATTAACTAAAAGCGAGTGCGTGCTTCTGTGTGTGTTTGATCCTTTATTGAAAAAAAGGAAAAACTAATAACATTCCGGGTTCGACTAAGCCATCATCCAGAGGAAATGTAAACCGTTTAGTTAGCCAAATGTTAGAAACAATAGCAAAAGTCAAAGGAGCATAAAAAAAAAGCAAATTTAAACAATAGCGAAATGATTGTGATGAAGCCTTAATAACAAAGTTGAACTCAATTCAGATGTTAAATTAAGTGAAATGAAACGAAATCAAATGAAATGAAATGGATTTTATTGTGTAAATAGAAAGGCGCTTTGTCCATGGATTCCATACTATTTTCCCCATTGATGTCCATAAATTCTGTGTGTAAATATGATTATGAGCTAACTAAATTAGAGTTAAGAAGATAGTAGCAGCAGCAAAACAAAAATCACAAGAGAGGAAACAAAACAAAAAGCCAGAGCCAATTTTAATAATAAGCGAAAAACAAATGAAAAAATATTAATTATACATTTAAATATCGATGAGCGAACATTCAAATGCTAATTGAGTACAATTGTGAACGCCTGAACTGGTGAGTGCGTGTATGAATGGCAATTAAAGCATAGATATAGTATATATTGTACACCCACACACTTATATAAATCTGCATTGTTGTCAACTGTAACTGTTTTTTAAGTCTTATTTAATATCAATGCCATTAACTGCAATTAAAACGAAAATTACTAAAAATAAAATTTAAAAACAATGCAAATGTACTAAACAAAAATAAAAAACTATAAATTGCATTAACGTTAATTCGAAAAACAAAACATAAATGTGTGGTAATTGTAAGTGTAAATTATTTGTGTATTTAAATAACAACTTTTAGATGTATAAAATGGGCAAGAAAATAAAAGTAAAAAGTATAATGCATTCGAATCTATACGATAAACTCTATGTGAAACCGTAAACAATTCAAACCTAACAAGCTGCCACGTAAGCTGATAGGAATTATTTACAACTCAACTCAAATCAAATGCCATAAAGTAACTTCAACTGAATTTAAATGCCAGACGAAGATGAGAAGTCTCTGTAAATATCTTTAAGCCTCATTCAATGTGCGAACCTTATTCGCAGGCGATCCAAAAACTGAAAGAAGAATTGTGAAGTAAACGAGTGGAAATTCATTAATAAAACATATTTGTTTCAAAATCAAAAGACAGACTCCTTATTTCATTATCTTAAGAAGAGGGATGTTCATATTGTTTACCTTCTCCAACTCATATATATTATTTTTACCTTCCTTGGAATTTGTCTTTTTATTTATGTAACTCCACATTAAGCCAGCTTCAATTATTTCGCAAAACCATGGCAGGATAACCTGTCCGGTTGTAAGAAGATACTTTTTCTGTATTCCTTTTTATTTTTGTTAGATGCAACACAAAGAAAATTGGGTAATTTTAAGAAAATATTTCAAATACGTGAAAATGTTCTCGCCGAACGTGACAACAACCTTCGACGACAAATAAAAAAGTAATCGAGACAGAAGAAGGGAACATCGTACAAAACATTTAGCAGTAAAAAAGGAGCAGTTACCCAAAAAGTAGAAATGCTGAAAAAACGGTCAAAAGACGCAATGCTTCGATATGCGTACAAAGCTTAAAAAAAAGGCGTGGAAATTAAGAAGTCAACTAAAGCAAAATATTAAAAGCTTAAAATAATTCTAGGGTTCCTTGGGTAGTTTTTTATATAATTCAGAATGTTCTTGTCAATATAAGTAAATGTATCTATTTAAAATTGGCGAAAAAGATGAAATCAGCTTTAACATTTTCCCCACATTTTCTAAAGATATTTTTTGTAGACATCAACAAGCTAAACCCCAAAGAAAAGTTCAAGACCCACAAAGCCGGAAAAGAAATAGAAAATATCTGAGGACTTATCCGTAAGTCGCACCTTAGCCTCGCCCTCGCTGGACCTCACTAATAAGCTGCCAACGAAGTAAGAGCATTTGATAAATACCGAGGACAAAGCCAAACAAATTATAAGTGCCGAGGATGGAAGATACAAGATAAGGAATATAGGGATAACAGGAGATGACTTCGCAGATTTATTAGCTAGCCGACAAATGGCCGCAAATGAGCAGACGGAAAGAAGTGCCCACCTGCTATCTTCGCCATCAAACGTCACATAAATCAGATTTGTCATCTAATGAAAACAACATCCAGATTTCCCAGGAAATACTAATACAGGAAGTCTAGTCCACATCGAGGTTAATTCCGTATTTTGGTTGCCATAATTTCAGCTTCACTTAATCTGTAGTACGTAGCTCGGGATGTCATCGCCTGGTATCTGAAAGATACTTTTGGCATATTTAGCCCAATTGTCTGGGGCTTAAAAGTTTCATGTTTGATTTCGCACAGATAAGAAGGCATCAATTTGCGGCACAGGTAAACTTTTTGATTGCCCCCCTCACCTGACACACCCATTCACAAACGCACACAGACAATGATTGGTTAAGCTGCTCATACAAATCGGTGGGCAGAGAGTTACTGAAGTGGGCGAGGAAAAGCTGTTAAAAACTGATGCCGATATGCCCGAAAGTTTAATTGGGCTCGTTCAGTTGGAATGAATGTGCCAATTGGGGTGTGAGTTTGAGAGACATTTTGTTGGGAGATGTCTTTGGATGAATGACTTCCCTTTGTGGGCTAATTGTTTTTGATAAGATAGTCAATTTGGTAGAGGGGTTTTATATTGGGGGATATTGGCCTTCCCCTATTTGGATAAATGGTTTTAAATTTTTATTTAAAATTATCAAATGAATCCGTCAGCGAAAGTCCTTCAATCACAACGAAGATTCCTCAAATCATCTTCAATCTTTTCCACAACTATCCAAATGGTTAATCCATTATCCGATCAGGTTATATTATCGAAGGCAGACAGACAGGATGATTGCACCTTGAATCGATTTCCATGCAACTTGAGGGATATAAAGGGTATATGCTGGGAGGGGGTCACACAATCCACACACAATGCCATGTCGCCGGCTGCCATTATTTGTTGGCATTCGTTGTTGTCGTCTTGTACTGTTGCTAGCATTTGCAGCATTTGAAATGATTTGCAATAAAAGTGTCTGCCACTGTACATTGGCCACGCCCCATTGGCAGATTACGTGCCACTTCAGCTGTTGTCCATTTGGTGTTGCTGTCCTTGGTATTTGTGTAGTTGGCGTAGCTTATCCTGCCTCTCTAGGATGAGTTGGCATCGTCATCGTCGTTTTTCCTGCCACTGTCACGTAATTGCCTTTTGTTTACTCTGGTTTCTTCCTCATGGGATGCTCTACACACCTTGGTATTTGGCCTTTTACATGTGCACCATGAGAACAAGGTAAATATGTTTACGGAATTTATGAAATCAGCACATATTAATTATGTATTTTTAATGACAAGTAAGGTGGCTATCTAGTTAGTTAATAGCTACCAAAATACAAGAAGCATCTGTATTTTTTCAGTCGCTATCCTTCGAGATCTTAGGATTATTTTCTTATTTTATTTCATTGATTCTTTGGTCAGACCTTCAAAATGGAAATCCGCCCCTGTTTCTTTAATGGAAAAGCCAACAAAACACACAGAAGGAATGGCAATTGCTACAATCATCTTTCTTGCATTGCCATAAAAATGCGTGGCAACGAACAAATTACTCATAAAAATAAATAAAAAATTGCCGCCTTCCCGTCAGTGTCTGCTATTTGGCCAGACCTTGGTCTCGCTGCAATTTCTGGCACATCATTCGGCCGAAGCCGGGGCCGTAAATTATATAGATTCTGGACAAAATTTCTACACTTCTGGCATGCAGGCAGCGGCAGGCCTTAGATGTTCGCCGGTCCGACCCATTAAAAGCCATTTTGTCCGGGGAAATGGAAATGATTTTGTGTCATTGCAGTTACGTGTTGGTCAAAATGGCAACGCAAATTCGGAAGCAGCAAAAAATATATACAAAATTCAACTCAGCAGCTTTAAGTCTATGCATTTCGAGCTTGGATAAATTTATGGAGAACATGGATTTATTTTAATTCATTTTCAATTCTCATTGGGTCAGATGCTGTAAAGTATTTAATACTTTTCCCCAAAACTTCTGAACTCTCTAACAAGAAAGCCACCTAATTTTCTATAACAATTTAAGATTTTAAAGCCTCGAATACCTTTCTTTCACAGCTATCCCAAAAGTAGGTAACCCATAAAATCAGTTCCCCAATTTACATTTTATCGAGAAGGCAGTTGTTTGGCTCATTACGTTGGCCATTTTTATTGGCTTCTAAAGATTTGCAGCTCGGACCCAACTCTCCAGCTCGAGCCTAGGAACAGGAATCCGCTCACGCATCCTCATCTGGTGCTGATTTCATCAGAAAATACATTTCGTTACCTGTGAATTTTTATGGTCCACAGCGGAGGGGGTATGGCAATGTGTTGTGGCAATTTTCATATATCTAAACAAAAGGCAAGTTTCCCGTTTCCTGCCTATCTGGCCACAAATGGTTAATGCCATCTTAAGCTCCTAGCAGACTCAGCCGATATTTGATTTTTTACGACTTTCAACATACCCACACTGAATCCTTTCCTTGCGATTTACTTTCGCTTAAAATAACAATTTCAAATTGGTTTTACTGCCTCGGGCCTGGATTTTCTCCTCGTTTTGTGTTTATGTCGCCTCGCATTTTGATCGCTTTGCATAAGCGCATTTCAGCAATTTGCTTTGCCTCTGACCATTTGCTATATACGGCTTAAAGTGCCACTCCGGCAGCCCTTTAACCTCTTTAGAGTCAAGTGCATTAGATCTGGAAAAGCTGCACTCGAAGGGGTGAATAACGGAGACTTTTTATGTAGAGGAGTGTGGAGGGCTAGAAAGACAAACTTTTTCGAACCAGACAATAATTGAAAATGCTCTTTCTGTGTGCGAAAGTGTGCGTGTGCTGGCCGAGTTTGTTGGCCCAACTTTGTGTGCTGGCCTTAAATTTATGTTAATTGAAATTAATGTGCGCTGGCCACAGCTCAAGCTCAAACAAACAAAAATTCAGAAAAAAAAAAACCGAATGGAAAATGGCAAACTTTTCCTGGCATTGGCATCCAACCTCGTCGTCGCATTAAAAGGCCAAAAATTCCCTTTGTTTCAACATTACATAATTTGATTCTCATTCGTATCGAAATACAAATCACATTAAAATTAAATTCACTCGGTTCTAGCCAAAGGCAATTTGTGGCAAATACATTCGTGTGCTCTAAAAATTTAATTTGACATTTTTGTCATTTGAGTTCGTATATGAAATTGAGCTGTTTGTAATTTTTATATTTTTGGTAATTTTACTGAAATGGTTTACAATTTTCAATCGAAACATATATCTTAACAAATAATCCTTTTTATATGTTTGGAAACGTATTTGGATAATTAGTTAATCGCCTTGGAAACCTTAATGAATGAATTCCTAATGGATACTTGCATTGTTGCATTAATCGCACGTAACAAAAAGAATGCTTACTAAAAGATTCACTGCCTTTTTATTTTTATTTTATTTTTAAAAGTTTTCCATGTCATATTGAATAAGAAATATTGAATGCGTAATGATTGAGCCACACATGGCAGCCGTAGAGCTGCGGGTGACTGGGAATAGTTTCATCACGTTTATACTCATCGGGTTCCGAACAAGTTGAAGCTGCAGTTTCTCAAACTTTGAAAAAGAAACTTCATTTTATAAGTATAACTGTATTTGATACAATATCTTACGGATTCCTCAAGGCGAACATCCAAACTAGATGAGAACAGTGTTCGCTCTTCTAATAGACGCACCATCTTATTGTGATCATCCAAAACAAAAAGTGTGTTTAACAGATTCAGCATGGCATCTAGATAGAAGAAAAAGTTCCAGACGAATGCCATGATTACAATATCAAGTGTCAAATTCAGATTCTCATGCCCATATTTGAAGAGACTATAGGTCATGTATAAGGCGACCACCGACGAGAAGTAGTATCCACCGTACACCATCACACCCTGTAGTCCAATTATTGCTCCAAGTTGGGTTATAATCCATTGCAGATGACTTTGCAATTTGGCAATATCGTCTAACTTATCCGACAAATAGCAACATCTTGTCATGAAGACACCCTTTCGCTTGGGAATGTGACTTAACATCTTACATTCTTCCACTAATTTCTGCAGCTCTGTGTTTATATGCTGATATTGTGACCGTATAAAAAGCATTACTAGATAGTGCTGCGATACAGCCAGATTCAAAATCGTCGAAGTCCAGAACTGCAGAGCCAAGCCCACCATTTGGGCGGAGTTCATTCCACCCATTATTTGTACAGTAATCGCAAATTGAAAGAGGTCAGTCGCAAAGCTGGTTAAGATCTTTATGAGGCACGCGAAACGGGACCAACTGTTTACAGGAAAAATGTTGGCCGAAAAAAGTCGAAGTATTTTCCTCACGAGGTCCATCAGCTGACTGCGTCGGTGCCATCTGTTGAGCACTGTCGAAAGCCCTGAAAAGAATTTTAATAAGAAATGCTATTTAATGATCCACTCCCACCTGCAATGGTTCTTAGACTGGACATTGCGATGACAGCATAAACATGTAGTTTATTTCCAAGGAGCATACTGAAATCGATGTGACGTGTCCAGAAATAAATATGGAGGATTAAAATAGCGATGTTGACCGCAGCGGCATAGAGAGTAGATCCCCATCGCGTGTAAACACATCCTGTCCTCCAGTCATGCTCAAAATTGCTCAATCCAACGACATGACAGTAAAAATTAACTTGTCCCAGCAACAAACCTACCCAATCGACCATTTCGAAAGACTAATTGCTGTTACTATCCACAACAAGGACATTCAAATATAGTTATGTCATCGGTTTGCTTAGCATATTCGATGGGTACTTTAATCTAGACGGTGTCTGATAATAATCCTATTTTTAGGCATTGAACATTATATCTCATCAAGATAAAAAGCTCATTTGTTTCGACCGTCATATTATACAATATAGTGTAACTAATACAAATAAAATTTGAAATCGTTTTGTAGAAAACGCTACAACCAGAAATAATTAAAAGTATAGAAATGCCAAAGTTAAACGAGTGTATTTTTTACAATGGGTGAATAAAAATTAAAAGTTTTCCATATCGTATTGAATTAGGAAGATTGAATGTGTTATGAGATTTCCAAACATGGCCATAGTGGAACTGCGATCGACTTCGTAGAATTTCATAACATCAATTTTTAAAGGATTCCGAATCAACTGCAACGTTAGGCTCTCAAACTGAAAAATATAACATTTGGATCTTAGAATTTGTATTCTTATTATAACTTACTGATTCCTCAAGTCGGACATCTAAGCCAGGAGCAAAAAGTGTTCGCTGTTCCAAAAGATGTAGCATTTCTTTGTGATCCTCAAGGACATTGATCATGACCGACAGATTTAGCATACCATCGAGGTAGTAGAAGAAACACCAAAAACAGGACAGGATCCAAGCGGTCAGTGTCATATTCATACTCGCGTAGCCATGCTTAAGGGTACTATAGGTCAGATAGATCGTGGATACCGAGGATAAATAGTACCCTGCATAGACCAAGGCCCCTTGAATCCCAAATGTTTCTTCCAACTGGTTCACAATTTTATGCAGTTGGCTCTGTATCTTGGCTATATCCTCCAATTTATCCGATAGATAACAACACCTGGTCATAAAAGCCCCCGGTCGCGGTGGATTCCAGCTTAGCTCCATGGCCTCTGCGATCACCTGTCGCAATTCGGAATTAAGTAGACGAAATTGAGCCCGAACAAACAGAATTATCAGGTAATGCTGCGATATGGCCAAATTCAGGATGGCCGCCATCCAAAACTGCAAGGCCATACCCAAGAAGAACTGCGAGTCCACTTGACCCATTACATTTAATATGAAGGCGGCTTGAAGGAGATCGGTGACTGATCCAGAAATAAACTTAATGAGAATGCCCTTCCTATATATCCTCTTCACCTGCGGCCTGCTAATATAAATCCGAAGTACCTGTTTCGTTAAGTCCATCAATCTTTTGCGCTGGTACCATCTGTGAATCACCGTAAAAAGTCCTAAAAAATTAAGAGATTTGTTTTTAAGAATTAACTCAAAAACAGAGCTCTATCAACAATAAACGATACCTGTAGCAATTCTCATACCCGCCATTATAACGACAACATATTCATGAAGCTTGTTTGCTTTGCCGAAAATCACATTCGCTATATTAGTATTCCCGGTCCAGTGATATATATATAAAATGAAAATAATAGAATCGATCGCAATTGCATATAATGTACTCCATTTGGCTGTGAAGACACGACCCGTATTCCAGTCAAATTCAAAGTTACTAAGACCGACTAAGTGACCATAATAGTAGAGCAGACTCAGTATCAAAGTTTCCCAGTCGAGCATTTCCGTGAACTGAAAGTGTCCTCAATTTTGGTTGTCCTTAACGGGCAATTGCTTCATGACTAAGCCTAATGTACTGATCCTGGAAAAGATCTGCTGATAAGATAGGGCCACGAGTGGAAGGCTAATAGAAAATGTTTATTAAGGTTAGTCAATGTAAAAATAGCCCTTTTGTGTTAATATATTGTGTGTTCTGTATATTAACAAACGAAAACATTTTTGTAAGATATTTTACTGCTGAAATGTACATTTAAAGTACGTCTTAATTCAAGTTCAGAATATATTTCAAACTGAAAATTTCAGAATCTTTATATATTTTTTAGCTCTCCATTCTATTTAAAAGTATTCCATATCAAACTGTATTAGAAATATCGAATTCGCTAGAACAGATCCACACATGGCCGCAGTAGAGCTACGGGTAATAGGGAAAATATTCATAACATCCATTTTCAGAGGGTTCCTCGCCAGTTGCAACTGCAGACTTTCAAACTGAAAGGAAAATGCATAAATATACGAGGTATATTCAATTATGAAAATAATATCTTACAGATTCCTCTAAGCGAACATCCAAACTAGATGCGAATATTGTCCTCTGCTCCAAAAGACGGAGCATCTCGCCGTGATGATCCCACATATACAACATATTAAAACAATTGATCAGGGCATCGATATAGAATACAGCGCACCAAATGCCGCCAAGAACCATGGAATTAACTGTCATATTAAGATTTTCATGACCATATCTGTATACGCTGTAGGTCAGATAATAAACACCAATGGATGATATATAGTAACCGCTATAAAACATCAGCCCCTGAATGCCGAATACCTCTCCCAACTGAGCCAAAATCGACTGCAATTGGCTCTGGACCTTGGCTATATCATCCACCTGATCGGATAGATAGCAGCATCTTGTCATAAAGACACCTTTCCGCTGTTTGAGGTAACTTAGCCTACGGCTTTCTTCGATCACCTGTCGCAGCTTCATATTAGCTATCTGGTATTGGGCCCGTACAAAAAGCATTACGAAATAATGCTGCGATAAGGCCAGATTTGAAATGAATGAAATGCATGTTCTTAAAAAAATACCCAACATTACTGTCTGTGCTTGGCGACTCGCTGAATCCACGAAAAGCAGCACTTGAAACAGGTCTATTGCACAGCCACTGAAGAGCTTCAGTAGAATGCCCCAGCGGATCATCTTTTTCACCTGGGGATTGGCCAAATAAAGACGAATTATATCTTTGGTTAGGCGCATTATTTGACTACGCTGGAGCCACCGGTTAAGCACCGTAATAAGTCCTGAAAATATATCATTTACATGAAGACTTAATAATTTGAAATAGTCTTTAGTTTTTTTTATACCTGTTGTGATCTTCAGACCGGCAATAATAATGGTAACATACTCGTGCAACTTATTTGCACTAACAAAAATCAAATTTGTATTATGTTTTTTCACGATCCAATAAAAAATAAGAGATATCGTTAGAACGGCATTCACCGTGAAGGCGTACAGAGAACTACGCCAGGATTTGAATACGCGTCCTGTCCGCCAGTCGTACTCAAAGTTGTTTAACCCCACGAAGTGGCAGTAAAAGTATACAGACCTCAGCAAGAAACCGACCCAGTCACCCATTTCGCAAAACTGAAACGCTGACTGTTTGTAGCCAGACTAATTTAGCTTAGTCCACAACTACCCCGATTCGATTTCAAGTATAGATATATCATATACAAAGATTCGTTACACTGAAAAATATTTATTTTGTTGAATAAAAATAATTCCAGAAAATAAGATTGTATTCATATGAGCAAGAAAAATGATTATTTGAATCATTTAGTTTATGTTTTTGAGTGCTTATAGAATTTCAATATGAATGGTGTAAGTATTAGCCAAAAAATTCCAAAAATTTGACATTGAAAATTGACCTTAATGGTATTCTATATCAAATTGAATGAGGACAATAGAATACATTATAATAGATCCACACATATTAGCGACAGAGATCCGAGTTATGGGAAAAAGGTTACATCCATACATAGTAAATGGGTTTCGCACTAGTTGAAGCTGAAAGCTTTCAAACTAAGAACAAAAGAACAAATATTAAAGATATAGATATCTATTTGATGCTGTCTTACGGATTCCTCAAGGCGTAAATCCAAACTGGTGGCAAATAATGTTCGCTTTTCCAATTCCCTCAACATTTCGTTGTAATCATCTAAGGCATAAAGCATATTAAAAATATTCATAAAGACATCCAATAAACTAATGCAGCACCAAATTAAAATTATAATTGCAGTTTGTTGTGCCGATTTTATATTGAAAAGATTATATTTGAAGAGAGTGTAGATGGAGAAGATCCCGATCGCCGAGTTTAGGAAGTACAAGCTGTATACCATTACCCTATGGATCCCAAAGATGTCTTCCACTTGGGATACAATCTTCTGCAGCTGATCTTGATGCTTAGCAATTTCTTCTATATTATCCGCCAGATCGCAACATCTGGCCATGAATATACCTCTTCGATGAGGAAGGTAACTTAACCTTTCGCATTCTTTGATCACATCTCGTAGCTGCTTAATTATATGTTTATATTGCAGTCGAACAAAAACAAAGATTAAATAATGTTGCCAAACATATAGGTTCAAAATTGACGCGATTAAAATCTGTAACCCGAAGACAAGGCCTTGAAACCCAAAATGTTTTAATGCGCCTAGCGAAATAGCAAAAAACAATGCTTGTTTGGCGAAACTTGTTACGGTTTTCACAATAATTTCTGGATGTAAATTTATGCTTTGGGGGCTCCTTAAAAACAAGCGGAGTATACTTTTAGTAAGGTGCATTATATCACTACGACGACGCCATCTGCTAAGTATTGTAAAAAGCCCTAAAAATATTAATATTAGTAGTGTTCAGAAAATACTTATTAGTACCTGCTATTATCCTGAGAGCATACGTACTGATGGTTACAAATAACTGCAGCTTGTTTCCTCTCTTAAACATCATATTGTAATCTAATTGCCAGGTCAGGCAATAAAGAACACAAATAAAAAGGGCTACGTTGATCGTTGCGGCGTAAAGTGTACATTTCCAGGTCTTGTAGACACGTCCTGTTTTCCAGTCGTACTTAAAGTTGTTTAAGCCAATCAACTGGCAGTAAAAGTAAACTGCCTTTAGCAACAAACCAATCCAGCTCACCATTTCGAATAACTGAAAGAGCTCTCAGTATAATTTCCATTAATGGAAAATATTTAATTGGCTCGAGCTGCCTGACAAGAAAATATTACGCCAATTCCAGAGATTTTTCAGATCAGATTGGCCTGTCAATATAAGTTTCTTCGCGTTGAGGTAAGCATTACAAAATTAAAACTCATTTGAATTACAAAAGAAAAACAATTTCATTTTTAGGGGGTATGGTGCATTATTTATTAAAAAGTAATAATATTTTTCAATGTGTTATTCTTATTAAAATGTTATAAATCTTTTTAAAACTTGTAATTAAATTAATTATATATTTCAATAATTGCAAATAATTCTAATCGATTTGCAAATCATATTGAATCAGAACTATTGAATTCAATATTACACTGTTACACATAGCTGCAATGGATGCATGATCCACTTGGAACATTCCCATGATTTCAATTTTCAGAGGATTCCGTACCAGCTGGAGTTGGAGGCTGTCAAACTAAAATTAACATTTTGCCATTAAAAAATAGGTCAATTAGATTGAAATATCTTACAGTTTCCTCAAGGCGAACATCCAACATAGAAGCAAACAATGTTCTCTCCTCCAATAGACGCATCATCTTTTTGTGCATAGCAATGATGGAAAAGCATATTTTAAGATTGAGAAAGCCGTCCAAATAGTAAAAGCAACTCCAAATAGATAGCACTTCAAGAAAACAATATGTCAAATTCAATTTCTCTGGACCATATTTAAACACACAGTATATCAGAAAGTTAGTTATGACTGAGGTCATGTAGTATCCACTGTAAGCCATCACCGCTTGAACCCCAAATACCTCCCCTAGCTGGGTTACAATCGACTGCAATCGGCTCTGAAGCTTGGCAATATCATCTAACTGATCGGATATAAAACAGCATCTAGTCATCACTGTACCTTTTTTCTGAGAAAGGTAGCTAAGCCTCTGACATTCTTGAATTAGTCGTCTCAGCTTCTTGTTTATATCGTGGTATTGCATCCAGATAAAAATGAGGACCATATTGTATTGTAATATGGCCATGTTCATAATTGACAAGGTCCAAAACTGAAGTACTAACCGGATAGGTAGCCCGGTAATTGTAAAATCCATTAAAACTACATTCAAAACAATATAGATGAGGTCCAATCCAATGCTGGTAAAGATCTTAAAGAATATCCAACGAAATTTCCTGTTTGTCGGTGGGTTACTCAGCATAAGAAGGGTAAAACGTCTGACTATCTGCATAAGTTGCTTACGCTGGCGCCATCTATTTAGAATCGTGCAAGTTCCTGAAAAAAATGTATCTAAGTCTGTTTTTCACTCATATATCTCACCTGCAACAATCCTGAGAAAACTTATAACCTCAGCCACACTGACGTGCAGAGGTTTTGCATTTCCATTTATTGTTTTAGAGTCAAGGGGCCCAAATGAACAATAAACAAGGACAGCAAAGAAAACAGAATTAATTGAAATGGCGTATAGAGTGCATTTCCAGGACTTGTATACACGTCCTGTTCTCAAGTCGAACTTAAAGTTATTTAAGCCGATCAATTGGCAGTAAAAGTTGCCCGCCTTTAGCAAGAATCCAACCCAGTTAACCATTTCGAAGAACTAAATGGTTCCTAGATGGGAATCCAGTTCATACCTTAAATTAAATTATACTGCACTGCCTGACAAGGAAATATTGCGCTAATTCCGGAGATTTGTCAGATCAGATTGGCCTGTCAATATTTTTACTATAATGTGTCGGTTATTTTTATATTTTGTGGGTTGGCTTCAGCGCTAACAAATTACTCATTTTAATGACTGTTTAATGAAAAATAAAAGAGGAAAATACCAAATAGGTAAAATATTATATATATCGGAAATGGTGCTATTTATTAAAGATATATAATATTATTTAATTAGAGTTTATGAAAAAATTCTAATGCGATTCCCCAAAAGTTTTGCATGTTATATTTAATAAGGTTTATTGAGTTTATTATTAGACTGCCACATTTTGTAGCAGTGGAGCCCTGTTTGGCAAGGAGCATTCCCATGGTTAATGATTTGTGGTTAATTGAAATGAAATAAATAAATATAAGTCAGGCTGCCGTCCACATAGTACACTAAGCTCCAGAGGCCCACTCTAACGCCCATAAAACCCGAAAAACTAAAATCGTGATCTTAAGATGGTACCCCATCCGAGTTCGCCCTCTGTTAGGCCCTCGAAGTCGCGGAAAACGGTGGCATTTATGATATTAAAATTTTCGTTTTCAATTGAACTTGAATACAAGCTTTTTTGTCAATACCAATCGATATACCAACAATTTTGTAACTACTATAGGTATTTTTTAAAGCGGTAATAAACTCGAAGTAGTGTTTTTTTATTAAATAGTTATTCTGAGAAAAAGGTTAAATCCTTTAGATGTAATAAGCATAACATTTTTAGCACGTGCAATTGTATAAGGTAAAAAAATGAAGATATTTCAAGCTCGGTTGGTTATTCAATTAATAGTGTTCCAAATCATACTGAATAAGGACTATTGAATTCATTATTATACTGCTAATCATGGCAGCAGTAGAACCCCGATCGACACGGAACATTCCCATGATTTCAAATTTAAGAGGATTTCGTATTATTTGCAGTTGGAAGCTCTCAAACTAAAGAAAAGAATCTTTCTTTTAAAAGGTGTATAACTACATATAACTATTACTACTTACAGTTTCTTCAAGGCGAACATCCAACATAGAGGCAAACAATGTTCTCTCCTCCAAAAGATTCATCAACTTTTGGTGGTTACTTAAAATATTATAAATAATTAAAAGACAAAGAAAGCCGTCCATATAGTAAAAAGAAGTACAAAGGCTGTAAAAAACAAGGCAGCTAGTGGTTAGATTCAGATTTTCTATACCATATTTGAAGAAAGAATATATTATATAGCTTCCGATGACGGATGTCATGTAGTATCCACAGTATGACAGCAACTGTTGGACGTTGAATGCCTCTGTCAACTGGGTTACAATCGACTGCACTTGGCTCTGAAGCTTAGCAATATCTTCCAACTGATCGGATAGAAAACAACATCTAGTCATAACCCCACCTTTTCTCTGAGAAAGGTAGCTGAGCTTCTGACTTTCCTGGATTAATTTTCGCAGCTTCTTGCCTAACTCATGATACTGCGCCCAGATGAAAATCAGTACTATATCGTATTGTAGCAAAGCCACATTTGTAATGGACAGTGTCCAAAACTGCAAACATAAATGGAGAGCTTGTCCTAAGTTAATTCGATCCACAATTTCTAAGGCGAAAGCAACATGACAGAAGTCAGTCGCTACGCTGGTGAAGATCTTCAAGAAAAGCAACCAACGAAATTGCCTTTCAGTCAGTAGATACTCCTGCCAAAGACGGATGGTACGTCTGACGATCTGCATCAGTTGGTTACGCTGGCGCCATCTATTTAAAATCGTGCAAACCCCTAAAAAATAATAAATTTAAATCTCTCTTTCACTTATTTATTTGTATTACCTCCAATAATCCTGAGGGCACTCATAGTCTGAACTAATTTGACGTGCAGATCGTTTGATGTTCTAAACAACGATAGATTTTCTATCGGTTTAATAAAAGAACAAACAAGGAGAGTACAAAGTGTGACGTTACTCGAAACGGCGTAAAGAGTACATCGTCGGGACTTAAAAACTCGTCCTGTTTCCGGGTCGTACTCAAAGTTGGATAAGCCAATAAGGTGGCAATAAAAATATACGAGTCTTAGCCAGAAACTTTCCCACTTAACCATTTTGCAAAACTGTACGGTTCAATGTAAAAGGGCTACATATTTTAAAGGCTACAATGGCACTGTGACTGACATAAACAAATGATACTTATACCGAATGGAAGTTTTTGTGATTAGATAAATTCAGAGTAATATTTCATGAAGAGGGCTTGGTGGTTGTATTGGAATGAAAAAGAAATTTATGTTCTCTATACAATTAAATAAAATGAGAATGAGGAGTATCTAATTAAATTGAACAATGTGCAGAGTCAGCAGGGAAATACATTCCTAAGATAGTAGCCCCAGGAAGCTCTCCATCATGGCAGAAACATGGATCACTTCGTGATCGAAGGATGAATTCCAGGACAGGCTACTCAACCAGTAACGGAAAGACTTATATTAAAAATTTCTATTTGCACTTGAGTCATTCCTTATCTTAGACAATCAAATGATTCATTATCATTGTCTGTATAATACAACTAATTGTCTGTAATTGTCATGCCTGGATAATAAATCAGAAATAGATGAAAGGTATCATTGCAATTGTTTCACCGCTAAGAAAACCCCAATAAATAAGCTAAAAAAATTATATTTGTTAACTGGTCAATGCAACTTAAAAATATTCCATGTCATATTGAATGAGAAATATTGAATGCGTTATTATTGATCCAAACATCGCCGTGGCAGAGCTGCGACTAAGAGAGAATAATTTGTTTACATCAATTTTGAATGAATTTCGAATTATCTGTAATTGGATGCTTTCAAACTGTAAGTAGGCAAACACGTTTTGATAATTTATATTAAGATATATTGAACCAACACTCTTCTTACCGATTCTTCCAAACGTACATCTAAGCCGGATGCAAACAGTGTTCGTTCCTCTAGAAGTCGTTTCATTTCATTGTGATCGTCTAGAACATTGAGCATGATGAACAGATTGATCATGGCGTCTAGATAGTAGAAGAAGCACCAGCTAATGGCTAATATTACAGAACTGATAGTCAGTTGTAGATCCTCCAAACCACTTTTGGTAATACTGTACATAAAGTAAGTGGTTATAATTGAGAAGACATAATATCCAGAATAAACCATCAATCCTTGGATGCCGACAAATTCATTTAACTCCGTCACAATGGATTGCAGTTGACTTTGGATCCTAGCTATATTATCTACTTGATCCGCCAGAGAGCAACACCTGGTCATGAAGCATCCCTTTCGTACAGGAAGGTGGCTTAAGATTATGCATTCGTTGATCACCTGTCGCAGTTCTGTATTGAGGAGATGATAATAAGCCCGAACAAAAAGCGTTATCAAATAATGCTGCGATGTGGCCAAATTTATAATGGCTGACATCCAGAACTGCAAAGTTAACCCCAATGACTGATTAGAATTTGTTCGAGCTACTGAATTCCAGGTGAGTGCAATTTGAAGGAAGTCGGTGATTATGGCTATGACAACCTTAATGAGGATTCCCCAGCGAGAAATTCTCTTAACCTGAGGTTTTGCTAGATAAAGACGAAGTACTTTTCTGGCCAAGCGCATTAATCGGGCTCTCTGGCGCCATCTATTCATAACGGTACATAGACCTGAAAAATCAATAACGGTTAGGAATTGGCTTTGGAAAAAGTTTGGAAAAGTATATATTCAAGATATAAAAAGTCCTGACCTGAAGTCATTCTCAGTCCGACCATAACCATGATGGCATATAGGTGTAGCTTGTTACCCTTACCGATGAACACACCGAAGTTAGTTTGCTTTGAAGATTGAACAAAAATGAGAATAAAAATGATGAAGTTGATAGCGATCCCGAGGAGGGTACTATTTTTGGATGTAAAAACTCGACCTCTTCGCCAGTCAATCTCAAAGTTGCTTAGTCCTATAAGGTGTCCATAATAGTAGATAACCTTCAATAACAAACCAGCCCAGTCGGACATGTTGACCAACTAAAAATGTTGTGCCTTATTTTGCTACGCCAAGGATATTCCATTTGTAACAATGACTTTCACTAACCTAATGTACCGATTGCTGACACAGATTATTTGTGATTAGATTGTATTTGAAGGACGAGAATAATTTATTGCTAGTACAACCTGGGCCTCGGATTAAATAAGGAATAAATATTTATTAACCTGGCCTGAGCATTGGGTTGGTTTGTCTTTCATCTGCCAGCAATACAGTTACTGTAAAGAGATTTATTTAAACCCAATGATTGAGTCACGCATCTAACAAAAATGATTTTTTGGTGGCTTAATTAAATACGATCCTAAAATAATGAGCATAAAGTTTACTTATTGCAATCGAGTAGGTATTGTTGTCAATACCAACTAGAATTAATGAATATCATTTAACAAATATGATAAAAATTTGTATGCTATAGAAAATGCTTTAAAAAATTTTCCATATCATATTGAATTAATAATATTAATTTTGATAAAATGGATACACACTGCGCGAGACCGCAGTTGGAGATGGAGCCTGTCAAATTCATAAAAGTATAAAAGAGAGCACTGAACTGAATCTTACAGGTTTATCAAGATGGACACCCAACCAGGTTCAGGCTTAATTACCTAAAAAATAAATCGACCCCTTGTAATAATAAATAATTTAAATTTTATTGATTATATAAGGGGTTTTGAATTACTTTAAAAGTATTCCATGTCATATTGAATAAGGAATATGGAGTTTGTTATTATAGATCCAAACATAGCCATAGTAGAAGTGCGGGACACTGAGAAAAGTTTCATTACTTCAATTTTAAGCGGGTTTCGTATCAATTGAAGTTGAATGCTCTCAAACTGCAATGAATGTATATTCAAGGTTAATATTAAACAATGATTAGGTAAGAAACAGCCTACAGATTTCTCCAGACGGATATCTAAAGTAGAGGCAAACAGAGTTCGTTCCAATATACGCATTGTCTCCTCGTAATCATCTGCTACATTAAGGGTGTTGAACAAATTGAGAACGGCATCCAGGTAGTAAAAGAAGCATAACGTGTAGAACAGAATTACTGATATCAAAGTTATCTGCAGATTCTCGTGCCCAAATTTTAGGAAAATATAGGTCAGATATGTCGTTGCTATCGAGAATATATAATAGCTGCAATACACCATCAACCCCTGTATTCCAGATATCTCTTCCATCTGAGAATTAATCGATTGGAGCTGACTTTGTAATTGGGATATATCTTCCAGCTGATCCGACAGATTGCAACACTTGGTCATGAAAACACCATGTCGCTGGGGAAAGTAACTTAACTTCCTGCTTTCATCAATTACCTTTCGAAGCTCTGTGTTAAGCAGGCGATAGAAGCCCCTAACTAATAACGATAGCAGATAATACTGTGAGATAGCCATATTTACAATGGCCGACATCCAGAACCGTAATGACATCCCTAAGCCATCGTAAGCTCTTCCACGGCTTATTGCATTCCAGGTTAATGCCATTTGAAAAACATCTGTCACTATTGCAATGATGATCTTGATAAGAATGTCCCACCGGAAAATTCCCATCACTTGCGGCTTTTTTAGCACTAGCCGAAGCACAATCTTCACCAAGCGCATCATTTGCGTCCGCCGACTCCATCTGGTGAATATGATAGACAGGCCTAGACAAATAGAACTGGTTATTGTCCTTATCTAATATTATGTATAAACTTATTTTTATATCCCACCAGTTGCTAATTTTAGTCCAAATACAATCAAGATAACACATTGGTGCAGCTTGTTTGCCTTTCCGATTATAACACTTATGTTAGTTTGCTTGGGAATTTGCAATATTAAGACAGTACAGATTACAACGTTAATCACGATGGCATAGACGGTACTTCTTGTGGATGTAAAGACGCGACCTGTTCGCCAATCAAACTCAAAATTACTAACACCGATAAAGTGTCCATAATAATAGACTGCCTTCAATAAGAAACCGACCCAGTCGAACATTTTTGCAACCTAAATTGGCTTTCGATTTCGCTCTGCTTTGGTTAATTCAGTTGTGCGAATGACTTTCAAGAACCTTACCTAATGTGGTGATTCCAGACACTGATTTTCTGATTAGATTACCATTCGCAGTGTCCTTAAAGTAAAATGGTATTGGGAATTAATCAATTAGGCTAGACATGAAACAGAGACTAACTAGTCCCCAAAAAACATTGATGCGAGTCTGTGAACTTTTTGTTGTCATAAATCAAAATGTCGTCGCAATCAAACCTCACTTATAGGCGCGATGAATCATTGTATTGCCAAAGTGGTGTAAGTGTCTATATATGTGAGGCGTGACCACAGTTCGTGTTGCGTTTCCGTTGCATATTCATGGCCAGTAAGCCTGGACAGAAGGGAAGAAAAACAACAAAAACACACAAAAATGGTTGTTGCATTAACCAACGTGTTTATGCTGCAATTTCACGCGGTTTTCCCACTAATTTGCTGGGGTGTTGGTGGAAGGGGGTGGATTGGATTATTTATACATTCATTCCGTCCGCACATTATTGCGAATTATCTATTCGATTGTAACGTTGTTTATCAATTTAATTTCATTTATCAGCAACACTGCCATATTAACACTTTCAAAAATAAGAACGTTAAGGCTTATTAAATATTATAGATAATTTCATAATTTGATAAGTAAACTAAAATAAGTACAGCCATATTTATCAAACTTTATTAAAATTGTCTTATTTTTGAAAAAATTAATTCAAATAATTTATAGTGCTTTGTTTTTTAAAATTGCTGATTCTTCGAAACTCGATCGGAGGTACATGAAATTATCGCTGCCGCGTAAGCATGGGCATGGCACTTTTATTAAATTTACGCTTATTGTATTTTAATTAATTATAAACAGGTAATTATGGTAAACAGACTGGGCCACCGTCGACCCATAAAACTGGGCTTACAAACATTACCAATTTACGACCAAGTGCTTGGCTGTACCGCTAAAGTGCCGCCCTGGGACGGGTAATTCGTATATAAAATTAATTTAAAACACGCCACAAGCCTTTCGACATGTACCCTTACCCTCAGTGCCATTTCAATGGATCTCCTCTGTTTTACTGCAGTTTTTAGTGGGCCTAAATGTTTGCGCCATAAAATTTTGCATAATACGCAGAAGTGTTGATAATGAGCGTGCAACTGTGTTTTTAAGGGGGGAAATTAGCGAAAAAGAGGTAGAAGAAATATCTTAATAAATGATTTTAAGGGCCTCTCAAAATAATCAAACCTTCTTGTATGCAGATAATATTTACCATATATTTGGATATTCAAAATCATATACAATATTCCAAAAAAGTTATAAATTCTTCCTGTTATAAAGAATATAAATTTGTATTTGAATTGAACAATAAAACCCTAACTCGTACAGATTTTAGTAACAGAAAAAGAGTTCGGATGGACGCACACTTCCGTATTCGCCATTGGTAGTCTGAGGATACTTGTATCCCACCAGGTGAGCCATGGAAACTTCAGTGTCTCTGTTTTCCTGACCAATCACAGACTTCGATTCGGAACGGAACTCCGAACGCAGGCGGTTCCTTTTCGCATAGTGCCCATATATTTTATCTCCGTATTTTTCCCGGCTTTGGGCATATAATAAACCATATTGGGAGTAATACTTCCTTTGGGCTTCTGGAAACCAGGACCAATTTTTCTGACAGTATTCCCGAGTCTTATCGATTTGCTTTGCCACAACGCGATAGTGTTTCAACTGATCCTCGAATACCACCTCATCGTACTCCTTCATCTTGGATTAAGAAAATAAATTCAAGCCAAGGCGCGTATATAATTAATGGAAACATATACTTTTAGGTGTTGTACTAAAGTGACAGACTTATAAAGAAGTACAAACTATGGCCTGTTGCGATTTAATATTGTGTATATAAGAAAAAGTACACAATAGAATAAACAAAATAAGATATATTTTTCAGGAGTATTTCAGCATACAAATTTAACATTGAGTATGTGAACTTCAACTAAAAGCTCACAGTTTTCTATTTAAATGGCGATTCCTTTGTGATGCATTTGATTTAATTTCAATCAATGTCGCCAACGGGCATATAAATCCAGAGCAGAACAGGATGCTGTGGAATGCAAATAAAAGACAAACCGGAAACGGAAATGCGGTCCTCTTTCAATAAAAAATCATTGCCCTTTGCTTGCTTTTCTGGACTTAATTTATTTTTTATTTTCATGTTCAGTTTTACAAACTAACTTTTTTTCATTTTCTTTGTCAAACATTTGATTTTATAATACTTACAAATAAATGCTAAACTGAAATGTTAACAAAGTTCATTGATGAAGGTTAATGAAGGAAGGTTAGTTCTTTGACTTAGCTAAAATGTTTTATTTTCCACCACTTGTTAGTTTCCATTTTCGTTTAGTTATATTATATTTTCATTGTTTTTATTTTTTAAAATTTACAACACGCACAAGATTTGCTTAGACTTAGATTTAGATTATGCTTAGAGACTTGCCAAGGAATTTTCCTGCTTATATCCTAAATAAATTTGAGTTCAAACGTCGCTGGCTATGTACAAGAAACATTCATTTTGGCTAAGTTTGAGGGGTTTTCTCCCCTGGCAGTCGATCAATGCCAAGCTGAGATGTATAAGATAAATTTGGCCAAGACCGGCAGCTGTTTAGTGGCCATTTGTAGCCATCACCCCAATGCATTTGGCCAACAATCGAACGGCTTTGTATGCAAATGAGCCATTGGATTGCATTTCTCACGCCCAGGTGAACCAGGCAGACATGCGATATACCATACATATGTTACTACCATTCAGCCTTCGCATGAGTCATGAACTGCTTTTGGCCTTTTGTTTGCTTCTTGGCAACATTGTTTGGACTTGAATGCATTCGATTGCGGTTTGTTGCGCATTCTCGCATTTTGCATGTCTCCGACAATTTCCACCTTTTTTGTTTTGCCATAAACTGCTCGATACCCCCTAACTGGCGGTATCAGACCTTAGGGAACTCTGACTCAGCTTGGGCCGAATTAGCATAAGCCAAAGGATTAGTATCATGCATGTGGCTAATTTCTCAAGGGGAGAATTTAACTTTACCTATTTGAAAGAATGATCCGGCTCGAAAGGAAATTTAAACAGCTAAAACTACCTCATGTGTTATTCTAGAGCTCTATTTTAGAATTATTCAAGCAATTTAAATGTGTGTTAAACAAAAGAGGTAAGTTCGCTGAAAAGTATTATTGTTTTGGAAAATCGTATTGTCAATTTGCAAAAGATATAGCTTACAGAAATAGTTCCAAGTGTATTAATATAGTTTTATTTATTGGAGACTATCAGTTACACCTCACAGGAATTTAAATACTTTTCTTAGGTCTTTAATGTACATCTTCATAGGCTTCGTTACTGTACTAAACCGTATAGTGTTCTCTTGTTCCAAAACTTGTCTGCCAACATAAATTTGAATTTCAGATTCCATAAAATTTCTAATAAATCTTGAATAGACGCATTGGTTTAACACTTCCATATTCCGCATTGGAAGTACGGGGTGCCTTATAAAAGATTAAATGATCCATAGAAAAATATTTGATCTTCGAGCGTCGCTCTTCGAACGAACGGGTATAGTACCTATGCTTTTCTCTGAGGCGATTTCTATTCGCATAGTACTCAAAATGATTGTTTCCGTACTTCTTTAGACTGTCTCTGTAAATCTCGGCATATTGCTCGTAATGCTGTCTTTGAGCCTCCGGATACCAAGAGCACAGCTTCTCCCAAGTTCGGCGAGTCTCCTCGATTTGGCTGCCCACGGTTCTTTGGTGCAGCAGTTGGTCTGTGAATATTACCTCCTCATATATCTTCATTTTTTCGGTATGTGTAAGAGGAAGTTTTGTTGGTTTGCTTTATTTTATATTTTTTATTTTATTTTTAGTTTTTTTGTTGTGTGGCTAACACCTGTTAACTGCAAGTTGTTATTTTCTAAAGTGACTAAAAAGGCGAAGGGTACCCTGTTCGCTTAGAGAATTGTTCTTAAAAATCATAAAAAATGTACCCTTTAGGAGGCTAAAAACAACAGTCTTAACACACAAATGTATGCAAAAGAATATAAAGGTTTCGAAAAATACAGTTTAATGATACTATAATTTAACAATTACTGCCTAACTTGGACTTTTCAAATTACGTGATGGAGATTTTAACAAGTTCAGAAAGAGATTTAGAAGCAGTGAAAGAGTTGCATGGGCTTGTACACTTCCATATTGCCCATTTGAAGTAGGGTATGTCTTGTAGCCCTTTAAGTGGTCCATTGATCTTTCCGACTTTCTCTTTTCCCGATCTTTATATGATTTGGTATTACGCCTATACTCTTCCCTAAGATGATTTCTTTTTGCATAGAACTCATAGTGATCGTTGCCATACTTCTCCAGGCACTCCTCATAAATTTCAGAATACCTTGCATACACAGCCCTCTGGGCAACCGGAAACCAGGAACACCGCTTATCCCAGTTACGCCGTGTCTCCTGATCAGGGTGCCCACAGTTCTGTGGTGCAAGAGCTCATCCGTGAAGATGACCTGGTCATATACTTTCATTATGTAAATAAGTGTGTAAAGAAACGTTTTAAAGTTTTCTTTGTTTAACGAATTAACAGCGAATGAAATTCATATTTATGTTTCGAAAATGATTACATAGTCAATGAGTAGTTCGCTCTGTAAAGAATATTTTGAAGTAATGATAAATTTCTATTCAAAGTTGTTAAAAGAAGAAGTTTTTAACTTTTGGTCTAAAACATTTCTCAGCTGGGCATTGATTGAACCGATAACATTCAGATACACACACATACTTATATCGAGACTCTGGCCAAATTTTAAAGTTTTTAACTTGTGCAATCCTCGGCTTCTTACCAGGCTATTTACAGGCTTCTGATCAAAAATACTTATAGATATATTTCTCTTTGAGGAATTTTTGGAATGCAAATGCAAGTTTTGCCTAATCGTTGCTTAGCTTATTTTCTGTCTAGTAATTTTTTATAGTTACGTCTTCACTTTTCTTAATTTTAATGCTATAAAGTTTAGATTTTTTGCTTTACAATTTTCTTACACTTGCTTAGGTTCTAAAGTTAAGTTAATGAAAAGTTCGGTTAGGTTAAGTTGTAGACTTGATTTGGTATGAAGATCAAAGTGAAAATATGTTATTTTTACAATCGAAATGCTTGGTTTCTTTTGATATGCCCGAAGAGGGTGGATAAAATGGAAAGGAAGCTAAAAATCAGATCGAATTGGTTGACTCTAAAGAATTTCCTACACGGTTTTACTTCCTTTCGTTTTCAAAATGAAGAAAATATCACAAAAGATCAACGGATGTTTTGCCTAAACAACGATTTTCTTAGAACTACATACAATTGCCTAATATTATGAATAAATATTTACAGTTGCTTAGCCTCTGCTTAAATGCTCACATTGAGTAGTTACCATTTGGGTATTTTAGTTTAATATCTGGCTCTTAATTAGTGGAATTCGGATTCCTCTTTTCATGCACACATACATCGATTGAATTTTAAAGATAACCAATGGCTTTGTTATAAATAATTCCTTTGGATTTTGTCTCAAAGTTTTTGGCATAGGATATGTCTGCTTTTTTGAATGGCTCTGCTAGTTTATGGGCTTTTAGTTTTTGCGATCCTTATTCTTCGAATAGTTAACTGTCTCTTGGCCAGGTCCAATTGTGAAACAGCAGCAGGAGGATAACCGGAGGCAGTAAAGTAATGAGGCCGGATGGGAGCTTTGATGCTGCAGCAGCTGTGGAAATATAAATTATTAGGTAAAAAGTCTTGGATAGACATTTAATATATATTTTAGGATATACCAATCGTGCTGGATTTGGCAGCCACCGTCTCCCGAGATTCCAAAGCCGGAGCCCTCTGCTGGCGATCGCTTTCCACACTCTCCTCGTTGCTCTGCAGATAAAGTGAGCTGATCTTGGCCACGCACTGCGGGAATAAACAATACAACAAGGTTATAATGATGAATATTGATTGTCAGCTGTCAAGACCCACCTTCAACTTCATGTCACCGTGCTTGAAGTGGTAAGCCCGCACTCGGAACTCCAATCCCAGGCGGGCCATCTCCAGTCCATCCCGATTCACCACCACCTTGTCGAACTGCCGCAGGTGCGTCTTTTGCACTGGTTCCCCGTTAATTAGCCAGCTCAGGTGACAGACGGGCTTGGACGGCGACGAGGTGCAATTAACCCGGACTGTGTCTCCAATTTGGTAGCGTGGCTGCCCGCCGGTTATCTTCGGTCCGTGGTTGGGAGTCACTGAAAGGGATAGTAATTAATAAGTATGTTTACACTAAGTATAACTAATAATACAGATAATAAATGGTTTTAATTATCTTAGATTAATTTTATTAAAGGCATTTATACCTCCTCAATTAATGGTTTTGCTTGATATTTAACTTGACTCTTTTACTTAATTTCTTATTCATTTTATTAACCGTTTAATATTTTATTTCGCTTTCCCTCCCATCATTTTCCAGGCATTTAAGACTGTTTTGGATTTGCAAGGATCTGCTGCACTTTAATTAAATTCCCCTGAACATCGTCCACCTTTCCTTTCACATAGAATTCACTGCCTTGATCCTCTGGCCATACCCTCATTTGTAGTCTCGCCTGAGCTTAGTTATTTAATTTTAATGAGCCGGGAAAATTGAATGTTTCCTAGACAAGAACTAGCTCGCCATTTTGTGCCAGGTTCTCTGCTTTTCCATCCGCATTTTGCCATCCTCCTGGCTGTTTTATTTTATATGCAGCATCGCTTATTTGCCCCACTGCCCCATAAGTAAAATAAGGAGAATGCGGAGGAATGGGCACTTTCCTCATGGAGGCTGGCCAAACAGTACCAAGATTTATGTAGAGATTTTCGCCAGGCGGTGGGTGGATGAATGTGAAAAGGTGGGGAAAGAGTGGGTGGTACCCAGAAAACAAGAATGAACTTTCGTTTTGGGCATACGAAATGCTTATTCAAAGTTTATTTGGCCATGTGTATGTGGGTAGGAGTCTGTCCTGCAATGTTCTGCTGTGTGGGTGTTTTTGTTTTAGCCCATGAAAGTGTATTTTTAGGAGGTGGAGTATGGGAGGGCATCTGGAGTCATCACCCATTTCCTACGCCTCTGGGCATATTTCCCTCGCATAACAGAAGTAATACAAAAATACAAGAATAAAATTAGAGCACAGAGAATAATAGATTAGACAGCAAATAATTTATTGGAAAAAACTGCTGTTAGTAGAGCAAATTACTAAACGTGATTATCGAAGCAATGTTTTCTAAGAGCACAAGCATTTTAGAAAATTAAATTTCATAACTTTCTGAAAATACGAAAGTTTCTACTATTTAAACTACCACATGCACCATCCTCGTTCTCTTCCTCGGCTTACTCCTTCCACCTTTTATCTTTATCCACATAGCTTGTACAGAAATAAAAATCAAGTCAAGTGGGAACAGGACCAGAATCAGGACTCCTCCTCGGGCGAGGCCCATGTCCCCCATATCCACCACCTTTCTCCTCATCTAAGTCGAGTGTTTTCTGTATGCATTAGAAATATTCGCCCATACCAAAACCAAAAAAATCGAGAAGGAAAATCTTCTTCCCCATAACGTTGCGGCTGCTGAATGTATGTGTGAGCCATAAAATAAAATTAATTTTTAATGGTTTTAAAAATATTAATTTTCCTTAGAAGTCGCAGGGTGTTTTTGTTGCTCTTCCCTTTGGTATGCTGTGGCTTATGGCCAGTTCGGATCTATATTCAGCAAAGTCCAGTCCATGCACTCAGAAAAAGAGGTCTTACTAGATTTTCATGGACTAAAGTTTTCAATATTTTTATATGGATTTCATTATAAATTAAATAGTCGTAGAGTCGTATAGAAAAAAAATTATTACTATTAATTTATAATTACAAAATCACTTAAGGAATTAATTCTTCTTTCGAATGAAATTTTTTCTTCAGCGTAATCATACTGGAAAGGTTGCCTTTTCCAGGATTGCATTTCCCTCTTCCGTTGGCTTATTTGTAATTTATAAAGTGAAGTTTACTTTGCTATGGTTCTCCTCTCTTCCATGTAAACTTAATTTTCTCCATGCAACTGGTAAAGGCTGAGGGAGAAGGTTATACAAAGGCCAACCATGGAGCAATCTAAAAATCCAACTTGAAGAAATGCATTTTTGATAAACGCATTTGGACAGATTGAAAATATTATTTTATGTTTTCATTTTGTTGCCATTCTAAATTTAATTCTTCTTTGTCACAAGCTGCCGTAGTTGGCAAATATACCTATATAAAAACCAAGAAAATAAATCTTTTGGTTTATCAACAATGAAAGTTTATCAAATTTGAAGGGTCCTTTGAACGTCAGCAAGCAAATGAAGTAAAAAATATAAGTGGAAGTTATACAAATATTGTTATAAGTTATACAATTTTAATATCAAAGAAACGAAAAATCTTCAACTCATTAAAATTACCTTTAAGCTTTTACACTTCTGCGCCAACAGAAAGTCCGAACTTTAATTAATGGATGACCTTATAAATTCAACTTTATCTTGGCCGTATATATTTATTACCCCCAAATACCAAAGTCTTTGCTTTAACCCTCAGCTCACCTGCTAGGATTGGGGTTATGTTCGGATAATTGCTTATATATATTATGTGAGCATTTTTTAAGTCAACGCCATATTGTCGCACTTAAATTTTATTTTGCGGCATAAATCTAGGGAGACAAAACGTGGCGGAAAAGGGACACGTATGTCTGTATGAGTTGGCAATTTATTTTGGCCAGACTTAGCACGCAACGATAAAGGACACACAAAAGGGGGAGGACTGGGTGGCAAATCGAGCCAGATGAGGAGAAAAATTTGGAGATGGGGAGGAAAACCCGCAGGTTACAGGACCAGCAGTAAGCCGAAAACTAAAAGCTAAAAGGGAAATGGCCGAATGTCGAATAGCCACATGCTTCAAGTATATTTTCGGCATTTTCCTATGACTAAGCAGTTTCGGTAGCCGAAGAGAGTGAGTGGTGGGAAAAAATGGATGGGAGGACACCTTTTGTGCAATGGCCAGAAGAAAAAAAAAAAAAAGTATAAAAATGTCTGAAGCACTTCCTCGGCAGTAACAACAAGTACCGAGAATAGGTACAGCAGAAATAGCCACAAGCAACTAGAGATGATCATACTAGATTTACAATCTAAGTCGTAGGATACCCTTTATAAATGTAAAATTATATAAAATATATTATATAACTTTGTTTGATTGTGCAGTAACTACAAAGATACAATAACCAAAGAGTTTCAAATTATTTGTTGTTTTTTGAGTTTTTAAAAATCATATTAATATCAGAAATTAAATTTTTATCATACCCCATGCAAGGGTATGCGAATTCAGAACAAGGGGAATAACTACAGTAAGCACTGTAGGTGGACGTCTATCTAGGTTTTTTCAAGTCTTTCCTGCTCAGTTGGTGGTCTTCTTTTAATACGTTGCGGTATATTTTTTTTTTACGAGCTACCCATCCGAAAACGCTTCCCCCTTTTTGCTCGGAGCACACTTTGCAGCTTCTTCTTAGCAGGTGATAAGCCAGGTCAGGTGGATGGGATTTTGGCAATGAGGATGAGGAGGATAAGAGGGTGGCACATGACGGTGGTACCCCTACAGGCAGTCACCTGTTCTATTTGCAAGGGAACTATGGCTTTGGGGTATCTCTATATGTGTGTGTGGGTGTTTGGATTAGGCACATGTTGAGCCCTTCGCTTAAGTGTTTTTCTCTGTATTCTCCCCTTGAACAATCTCCATTTTTTAGTATTTCTTTGTCTTTATCTACAAAATTTTAATAAACATTTACCAACATGATTTACACTCCATTATATTAAATTTATTCAACTCAATGGCGGGTGACCGAAAGAAAATGTTAATATAAATGCAATAAATGTAGGTTAAGAAGTCATTTGAAAGCAAACAGATATTTCAGACGTCTTTGTTACTATATATGTATAATAACATCTTGAAACTGTTTTTTTTTGCCTATTCACATTATTTAAAAATAATTTAAGAAATGTAGAAAGTTTAGAAAAATTGAATAAGAAATAATTAGTAGAGTATAGCGAAGCACAAGAAATTAACCCCAGTCGCAATTCACGTTTCACTTCCTGTTTGCCCTTCCATTTCACATTCCCTGCACCAAGCACTTCACGCTCCGTTTCATTCCGCACATTCCCCTTCTCATCCTCATCGAGTCCTGTTAGTCCCGTGACATTCCTCGTTTGTTATCTTTAATTTTGCATATGGCAACGATTTTTAATGCACGATACGAGTCCTTTCCCCTTTGCCGGCGGATCCTTCGGTTCAGTTGCGGCATGTTTGAGTTAAGACAACATTACAGTTACCGTTATTTCCGCGGCTCTTCCGTATCCTCATCTGCATCGGACTCCACTGTCTCCCCACTGTCACTGTATGTGAGAGTGTTTTTCTATACTGAGACAAAATTCATTCAAATTATTTAAATTAAAAGATTGCAGCGAATTAAGTTCCATAATATTAATAGTTTGTTTTGAAATATAGCTTTTAAAGTATGGTTTGGCAATTCATCGAAAATATTTTTGTAAAATTGTACAAACAGAAGGTAAATGTTTGAATCTATTATCGACTTTTTACAGTGCATCTGTTGCGTATCGCGCGTTGTTTTTTAATTAATGAGTACGCAAGGCTCTCAGCGCTTGGCACATGTCCTGCTCTTTCCACTCGATTTTCTGGGTGTCTCTCCGGGTCCTCATCCTGTTTCTGAATTTATGGTTAAGTGCACTTTAAAGGACAAACACATATATAACTCACTTTTCCCGTTGAGTTTCTTCACTCTACGTCCTATCTCCGTTCTCTCGACCCCTCTTCTTCTCGGACACAGTCATGCACAGACATATAATGTGATCGCTTATCGATTTTACAATATAAAAAGCAATTGCCTGCATAAAGGTCCTGGAACAGGACTCCTTACTTACAATCCCATGCAACCTCCCACTGGCAAGCAAAGTTAAATGTGATTTTTATGAGCTATGAGCGAAGTTTTGGTGGTGGTGGGGACTGGGGCGGCACTTTGTCATAATATTTATTGTTGCTCCTTGGCCTGGTCACACTAATGAGCTGTAAATTATCCAAAACGAGGCCAAAGGCAAGGCGCTCATTAAAGTTTAGTGCTCACAATTGGGAAAACACTTAGGGCACGTTTTTCAAGGATGTTCAGCCTAAAGAAAGGCTATTAGTAAGATATGTTAAATAAAATACTAATGTAGTGAGTAGCTCGTATGCCAGATATAACTAGAAATATATTTTTATAGAAAATCCAAACATAAATTTTATAAACCAAACTCAAAACATAATTCGAGACCGCGTGAATGCAAACATTAAGGGACCTTTCGTCGTCCAAAATGTTGCGGCTGACATTTTACGATCGCCAAATTAACATTGGCAACTCCCACTGGGAACAATCGGCTTTCACTAGAGCATATTTTATGGTTCAGTTGCATTAGCAAGACGAGGGTCCCTATCCCCAAACTCTTACTAAACTCCTCCGCTCCCTTTCTCTTTCGCAGCTGACACAGTTGTTGATGATGAAGCTTCATCCCACTCACCACGACTTTTTCCTTATTTTTCCTTAATATGCAACGCCCACAGTTGCTTTATGGTACAGGCAAAACTCGTATTCAAAGATCTATTTAAAGGAAAATAAACTCTTAACTTAAAAAAGGAGACTAATTAAATATTTCTGTTATTTCTTATTTATAAACTATTTAAGAAAATATTCTTTTTTTGTATAAAAAATTAGATACAGAATATTCAAATATAAAATAAACACTGTAACTTTCAAGACTGTTTTTTGCCTTTTTTCCGTTTTGCCCTATATTTTTTCTCGTCTTTCCTTTCCGACTTTCATTCGAATAACGTTCAATTTGGCTGCCCAGACACATTGTTTAATATGCAAAACCATTTCCCATTTCCCCGGCATTCCAATACGCCTTCGAAGGCTGAACCGAAGTGAGGGGATTTGGAGTAGCGAGCTAAGGGAATGGCCAAAAGGAAAATCAGCATGAAATGTGCTTAGTGCATGGGCGAGGGGCTTGGTCGCCTTTCTTAGCAATGTCCTGCTTCTTGTTGCCATAAGTTAATGCAGGTTTCTGCCCCGAGGACTGCGGCTTCCATTGATGATGTCGGTAGTTCGATTTGGCTCGGTGGTACTTCCTTGTCCCCAAGGGGATTTCCCTGCTTAGCGACTGCTCCTGCTGCTGCACATATTGATAACTGTTTGATTCTTTTATGGGTTTATAAATTTGTGATTAACTTCAGGCAAATTCGGCAAACTTGTTTGGGTTGTGTGAAAACATCCATGATGTGTTACTGATAAATGACAAAAAGAAGACCTTAAAGCATTTAAGTTTGTGCACAGGAAAAATACTATATATATAGTATCTCTTATGAGTATTAATAGTTAAATTATTCATTATCTGTACAAAATGATTCGCCATCTCAACCTTGTTTAGATCTATTTATTTTTATACAGAATTCTATTCAAAATATAGTCTTGCCTTTAAAAGTTTCCCTCAAGTGTACTCGCTTTTTCTACACACATGTAAATGGTGAGAGGATAGGCGATCTTTTTTTGCCAGCCAGCCTCCGCCAGATGGCGCCTTTGTCTTAGCCCAGTTTTTACCCACTTGAAAGTCGGACATGAAAACATAATTTTACTTCAAAATTGCAATGACAGTAGCATCCAGGCCCCGCCCACCTCAGTCCACGACCACGCCCCTTCATTGTACACACATATGCGCCTTTTGTTGGCGCTGCGTTGCCGTCGACTGCAACTGCAAAAATTCCATTTCAATTGTTTGCTTAGATTATGCAGTTGTATTAGGAGCGGGGTTGCACAAAAAAAATGAAGGAATGGGGGTCAGGTCCGTTACATATATATATAAATATACATTTATATATATATATATAGGGAGGAGTCTGGGGTTTCCAAGGCGAAACGCAAAGAAAAGCGAAAAATCCGAGAGTAGGGTGAAATCCTTTAAAAAGCAGCGAACAAGAGGAAAGCGAGCGAGTTTACAAGGATCCTGGGAGTTGAGATGACTCGACAATGCCATTTGCAACGCATTGCCATGTTGCATGAATTCCATTTACGGACTGAGACCGAAACTGGAGTGTGGAGACTGGCGACTGGAGACCTGCAACCTCGACCAGGTGGTCCAGGCGAAACAGCTTCAGGATCTGCACCACCTGCGGGAAAAAGCCGCTTTAAGTTGTCGTGGGAAAACTCAAGGAATTTAATTTCATTAAAATGATTAATGTGGTCTAAAAAGTGTGAGATGTATTCGAGAACCTAAGAGATGCCAAGATTGTGGAAAAGAAACGGAAATGGAATATTGTGTAATGCAAAACTTCACAATAAACACAGCTTTTTTTTAAGTTACTAGCGATATTTAGTACAATTAATAAGGGGAAATGGTCTCTTTATACGGAAAGTAAAGATGCAAAATAATGTCAAGTTCCTCAGCCATTATGTTTTTAATATAATATTAATTAATAATGTAATTTTGTTTTAGTGCATTTAAAACTTCCCAACTGATTTATATAACCCAATTTAAGATATATCCTTGCTGTCACTTTGCTGGCAACCTTAATATGCCACTCCCCATATGGAAAGTGGGATCCTTATGTAGCACGTGTTTTTATGCGAGGGGGAAACCCATCAAAGACTCCTTGACAGGGAGCTGACAGCCTGCATGCAATTTACATTCAGCAACCTCAGATTTCAGATGCCTCGCATGCGTTCTTAAATGGTTTTGCCTGGATTCGAGTTTTTCAGCCCCGGTGACAGGAGTCGGAGTGCTCGGCTGTTATCCTTTAACTTGCCTGTCAATCCTCGTCGGCTGCCTTTGGGCTCTGCTCTTTATCCACTCCCAGCAATTATGTTGCACATTCGGGATGCTGAGTTCTGCATTCTGGTTTCTGCAACTTCAGATGCCGCATCACTTGCCACTGTCATTCACAACATTGTTGGCTGCCCGGCACTATTAGCATTTTAATTAAATTTTCTGCTGTCGCCTGTTGTCCAAGTGCCTCGCATTCTGAATAACCCCCAGTTCCCATTCCCGATCCGCCTGCATTTATCCACCACCCTTATGTTAAACTCACCCACAACGGTCATGGTCTCCGACTCGGATACGGTGTTGAATGCGGGCGCCTCACCGGACACTTCGCAGCGATAAAGTCCGGAACTTTGCAGCGTTACGCGGCGCAGGAGAATCTGTGTGTCCGAGGAGTTACGCAGCTGTAGGGGAAAAGAAAGGTTATCAGGTGTTTCTTTTCTTAATATATTTAAATATGAATGTATAATTCTTTTCACATAATGAATATATGCAATCTTCTTAATGAACAACTTAATACTTATGGTAGTAGCCCTATTATTGCCATCTTTATATTATACAAGCGCAATATATTTAAACCATAGCTTACATGTTCATCCCACTTGCCTAATAAATACTAAACGAAATCCAGAAATTTGTATTGGTTTCCCTTCATTTTTCAGTTAAGCAGCAAAGTGGGATAAATTGCGGGGCAATGAATCGACACAAAATCAAACGCAATTAGAGTTCAAGATGATGATTTTTTTCTATGGATGATTTTGAACATTCGCAAATTCAAGGCAAAATGAAGATTGATGATGGGAAAGGCAGTTTATTATTAGTTTAGCCGCACTGTGGGCGAAAAATGTAATTTTCTCGAGGGCCGCAAGGAGAAGTCAAGTAAAGGAAAGCAAAAGTCATAAACCAAAAAGTCGGAAGAGCCAAGACCGAAAAGCCAAGCAAGCAAATGAAAATAAAATATCTAGAAACAATCGCACAAGAGCCTGAATGTAAGATGGAAGATACGCATGTGAGGGCGGAATGTTGTAAAAGTCACTCGCACAGTTCTTGCTTTATATTTTCTTTTTCATTTTCCCTGGGCAACAATTGCAGTCAAGTCAAGTTCTTTAAGTTGCACTTTTATTATCGCATACACATGCGGGAAGAAAGTTTCATTTGATTCGGGCAAATTTTTATGAAAATTCTTTGCTCTCGCTTTGTGCGCTTTCCCCTGGCCACATTTCACTGGCCCACTCTACTTTCTTTCTCCGGCGTAAACAATCACAAAAGTCACGTTCAACATTATTTTTGGTTTGTTGCTTGTTTTCGGCTGTCCCTATTGCACCCCTTTAACCCTTGGCAGCTTCTCCTGTCCTTTACAATGACTGTGGACTGGCTTTTGTTTGTTGCCTTCTTGGCAGTACTTAAGCCGATTCTTCTTCTCATTCTGCAGCTGCGTCTTTCGTCTTTTTGCCAATTCTTTCGGCACGCTCAAGTTGTCAGCACCCCCTTGAAAAATTTTGCTGAGGGGGTCGTTTTACTCTGGTTGCCGTGAAGGAGCTCTCGGGGTGGGGGGCATAGCATTGCTAGCCAAAAAACCAAATCTAACCGCAATTCAAATTGCAGTCTCTCTTTATTGCTTTTTCGTCGCCGGCTAAAACCCCTCCTGCCAGGATCTTGAGCGGCCATTTCGCTCATGACTGCAGATTGAAGTTGTTATTTGTAATTCCAAATTCGGTTTGGCTAAAAAGAATCAGCGCTCCTAACCTTGTTTACGTTGCCCTGATTGCAGTGACCAACAAATAAAAAGGAACCACATTACGATATAAAATAACATAGGAATAACTCGGGGATGTAAGAAGGAAAACATTTCCAAGATGACAAAGTCTGTCGGAAATGAAGAAAAATTCCTTTGAAGGGACTGATTAATAAATAACTGCATTATTCTGAATTCTCCGACAACCTTAAATACAGAAAATAGCATAAATAAAATTTTTAAATTTAATAATTCTGTGAAGCGACCTTAAATACCCGTGATAAATTTACTTCAAACAATAAGCATTATATGTTCACATTGGGTAAAGGTCTTCTTGCCAAATCCTTCAACAACTCATGAAAATATTCCCACTTTATCAAGCTTCTCTCAGCTATGCCACACTTAGTCACATTCGTAACCCCAAATAACCCGACTTTTGTTCTAATCATTTCCCTCCACTCAACTCGGCCTTCAACCCTTTTCAAGAGGCCGGCGACCAAATGCAGACATTGAAACCAAACGAAAATTATGCCGCATTACGCATTATGCCATGCCAAAGGAGTCTCCTTAAGCCTGCGTTTTTCTTATTCCTCTCTCTCTCTCTCTCTTACTCTTTCTTTACCCCATTTCCTTGGATTTTTCTTCTTTTTCCCCTTCCAGCCGCTTGGCCACACGCACACAGACCATAAAACACGCTGGCACATTGCTCATACGCCGCGTTAGCTCCGACAATTGACGGGATTTACTTTGCCACGCACTGAGACAAAAATATACAGAAAGAAGTAATCATTTTTCAAAAGTACAGCTGTTTTGCAATATATTAGTTTTAATAAACCCTTTTAGTTGGATTATCTGTTTCTAATTTATAAGCTTCATTAAATTACATATTTGCGAAATCACCCCGAAAATATACCACATTTTGCACAGTGCAGTCTCTGTTTTTCTTAGCCTTGCTTTCCTTTGACTGCCCGTCTTACAAAGTAGACGCACTTAAGTGCTTTTGGCAAATTATTATTATTAGAGCGGCACCAAGTAAAGGGCGGGGGATATCAACTTTGTCTGGGATATTGACAGCTTTAAGTGATTTCCGTTAACCTTTTCGATCGCCAGGCAAGCAGACCAACACGTGACCTCAGCCAAATCAGAGGGGTAGTGAAAATGGTGGTTGGGCGAGGTGGAAGAACAACCCACACAGACACACATTTTTATGGCAACAATGGAAGGTTACATCCACATTAAATTAAAGTTAAATGGCAAAACTACGTGGCAGCAATTTTCATTCCAGCGACGACGTAATCAGCAACAAGCATTCGGGAAAGTGGGGAAAGCGAATTGGGGGGAAAAGGGCACTAAGGGCTTCCTTCGCCATTGTGGCAATTACATGTTTTAAAATAATCATTATGATCAGGTCGTAACACTAAATCCTAAGCAACATACCCCACCATCTCTAAAATCACGTGCATAAATTGTAATAAAATTTTAAATTAAATTTTTCCGCTTCCTTTTTTTCAGATAAGCAACACCTGTTGCCACATAGACAAATATTTATATACTATTAGTTTTAGCTCTTTAGTATTTGCTGCTTTGTCTTTTCTATGATCACCTCTATCATTAATAATATTTTTTTTATAATCGGTTACGGGATACTTACATCGATGTTGACTCCGGGCAGGGGGAAGGATTGGCCGGGGGGCTTATCGCGTGGGACGTAACGGTAGATCTCGTGCCCGTCCTTATACCATTTCACTGAGTACAAGGACTCCCCATCGAGGGCATAACGACAGCCCAGAGTGGCGCTCTTCAGGCGCATTATGTGATTGGGTATCTTCACTTCGGTCATTGTCAGCGAGCTGCTAATGTCTGCAATTAGCGTGGGTAAGGAAATAGAAAAGGACGTTAGTGTGGTGAAATTATTTTTAATGGAATACCCAGTGGCAGTGCCATTCCCGTTGCAACTGCACCAAAGTTCCCTCCTTTAATTCGTATTCCCTAACCCACATTCATATTTCAACTGTTATGATTCCAGATGGCCATATTTTCCCACCAAAATGGCCAGAAAGGAAACACAAAAAACCTTTTCGGCCCTGTCACATGAATTTTGACTTGTCCTGCTGGACTCCGGCTCTTAGATCCCAGTGCACGTCACTGCAGTCCACAATTCACGTGTAAGGCGAAACAAAAATACATGCGCAAAAACTGAAAGTTTTCGAGAATGAAGAAGGCAAATAACGGTAAAACATGAATACCCTAAAAATATAAAAATTATTTTTAAAGAATTTTTTATAAAAACATAAAATTTTTCTACATATTTTCTAGATTATGTTGTAAATAAGTCAAAACGGGACCTGACCGTCAAAATGGCGACTTTTTTTGCAACCAACGACCAAAACTAACTATCCCTATCCCTTATCCACTGATTTTAAAAAGGTAAAATGTTTTAAAACAATTTTCTTATCATTTGAAGAACGCTATATCCACTAATATTGCTAAGAATGGTCAACAATTTAAATTTTACATATTTTTATATCTTTTAACGAGGTTTGGCTTCGTTGTTAACAAAATAGTGATTTCTTGTTGGAAAATCTGGGTGAACCAAATTGGGGTTACAACGTCTTATTTCGATAAAAATGTTTAAAAATTTGTATCCAGAACATGTTTGATCTAAAAGTACGTATACCTGCAAAACGGAAATACAAAGCCAAACACAGACCAAAAGCTTTTAAATCACAAACATCAAAACCCTGCACATATCCCCATATTTGCCTTGCGCGACATTTTGGCGGGTTTTCGGTAAGACCCCAACGGGACTACCGTTAACCGTTACGGTGGCCAGGACAGTAGCCGTTATATTTTCAGCTGTGTGGGTTGGATAACACCCACTTATTTAATATACCGCTACACTTTTCATTTTTTCAAACGTCAAACGTGAAAAAGTGAGTTCGTTCTGTGGGAAAGCGGGAAAAAACAAATACTCACGCACACTCACACAGATACTTCTTCTCAGACGCATATATGCATATGTATGTGTTGGTGTGTGTGGTGTAACGTGCAGCGCCGCCATTGAATTTATCACATTCACATGCAAATTGCGCCAAACGACCTTATTATGCAAATTGCCAACTGCAAATGGAGAACGAAATTGATTTTCCTGCATTTGCCGCTCCAACAACAACAGCAGCAGCGCCACGAATAAGGAAGCAAAGGGAAAGTTAAGGAAAAGGACTCATGCACGATGAACTAGAGGTACAGTGGTTACCTGATAAGGAAAATGAATTACTACACGGAAATGTGTAACCTGCACGATCATTTAAATTGGCGAATTTAAGAGAGCACTAAATGCGAGTTTAGAGACGAAAATTGCGGAGTTTTACAAAATTAATCAGATGGATTTATACACAGAAAGTGGAACGAAAAATATATATTTAAGGAACAGTGCCATGAGCCTTCATCTATTACCTTCAGATTTGTGGAAAATCTTAGATTGAATAGAGCTGCATTTTAATAAACTAGAAATTATATTTCATGGCTTTGATGATTATATTTTATTATCTAATTATTATATACTTTAAACGTGTTTTTCCCATACTTTTACCATCAGAGAATCACAGTGTCATTCCCTGTTTATCACGAGGTGGAAGGTGGGTCTGCGAGGTGCCGAAAGAGGATCTCCTGTTGTCTATAGCATCTCTCAACAATTTTGCGACATTCAGCAAGCCACATTTATATGACAACTAGTGGGTAAGGGACAGAACACCTCACGTTAAGTGCGGGAAAAGAGAGACCGAGTGTGTGGTTTTTACAGCGACAAATGGCGAATATATTGAGCTGTCACACGCCCAACTCAAAAACCCAAGCCGGAGGTCATGCACACGGACACACTAGCACAGTAGCATCGGTAATATTGAGCAATGTGCACACAAATAGGGCGATGAGCACTAAGCAAAATATACTCACATCCTAGAACAAAAATTTTAAAAATAAAAATATTGTATAATAAATTTGTATAACTATGAGTGTGTAGAACAGCTACTAATGTCTCTATATGCTTAGTTTAAAGCGTACTGGTTAAGGGTTCAGAATTGAGTTACGGTTCCGATATAGCAACCACATTTTCTCCGAGTGCAAAAAGCAGGGTCAGAAAGAGACAAAGTAAAAGGGGAGCAAAAGAGAGCAACGGATTTGCAATCGGAATCAAAATCGCAGTCGCGCCTTCAATAAAAAATACGTTGAATGCTTTCTGTTTGTTTGTTTGTACGTGTGTTTGTGTGTGTTGGCCTGTTAGTGTTTGCTTATGCGTGTGTGTGTGCCCGTGGCAGACAATTGGCATAAAAGAAGAAGAGGAGACAGCGATGGCAGCCACAAAATGAGTTAGTTGTTTGCCTTTTTGCTTTTTTCCACAAACACAAACAGAAGCACACATGCAGTCCGCTTTTTTGGGCTCGAATATTTTATAGCCCCAAATACGAATCGCAACAACAACGAACATCATGCATTATAAATTCATTTCCGTGTCGGCATATTTTTGTTAGCCCAAAGGGAGAAAAAAGCAAATAAATGGAGTAGATGGTACCATAAAATGTGCTAATAAGCTAAGGTTTTGTGTCAGTGTAAAAGGAATGGAAGAAACCAGAGGAATAAAATTTACGGCCTTAGAATATCTTAAAAGGTAACTTTTGCAATATAATCGTTGAATGTAAGTTCTTAAATTCTTTCAAAATGTTTGATCCAAAATACCATAATTACCAAAAAGTACTTTAAAAGCTTATTATTAAGGTTCGGAATTACATTAATGATATTTTTTACATATTTACAAACTCTTACATATTTTACAAACTCTATAAGCATTTAAATGAGGAAACTTCCAAGAACGCTAACTGTTATGTATGATCCTTGTAATTTAAGGGCACCTCACCCATGTCCCGTTGAGGGGATACGCCCTCGGTTTTTAGCGAGTTAATTGCAGTTGACTGGCATTTGACTTTGCAAATTGGCCTGGGACATTCCCTCCCTCCCTCTCACACCCTCCACACCCCTTCTCTTTCGCACGTTGGCAGTGCACGAGTGCAGGTCTTGCTGCGTAAATGGTGTGTGTCCTTTTTTCTACTGCAGACTACAGAAACAACAACTGACTGCACATTAAAAATTAAAAAAGCCAACAAAACGACAAGGGAACTTGAGACGAAGTAGAAAAGCAGTGGCTTAAAGGGGATTTTATCAAGGAGCGGTATTAAAAATATATGCTTATGAAAAATAATATTATACATTCTAAATAATTAAAAATGAATATGGTTAATATCAACGAGTACACTGCCCTCTTTGATTTTGAAGCTCAAACTCAGAATTCTGCCAAATGTATATCTTAATCTTGAACTGCTTTGGGTAATAACCCCTTTTCGTACACCCATGTGCTTTGAAGGAAGAACCCGATCCATTCAAAGTCAAAAGCTAAAGCTAAAGTTGGAGAAGAACGGGCTGGAAAATGTGGGGGAGTAGCTGTAAAAGAAAATTTGCCTACGACAACGAACAGCAGCAGTGAGAAAAGTTGAAAAAAAGAAGCAAAGTAATTTCATGCATCGTTTAATTTTCATTCGGGCTTAATTTGTGCAACGCCCCCACAACATAACCCCGCTTTTCAGGACCTTTTTCCATGCCCGCCATTCTCACCATATCACAATAAAGAGTTCCTTGATGGCATTTCTTCCCCTTTCTCGCCGGAGTGTTTGCAATTCCCCATTTAGACCTAATACTCAACAGCCACTTCCAGCTCAACTGACAATTGAAACAGCAAATAAAATGGCGGGTAAAAGGGGTAAAACAAATGTTAAGCAACCAGAAAAACAAAAGCCCTCAAAAATACAATATCACAGAGTTGAAACTGACACCGAACAAATTTGAAGACAAATAAAATTAAATGATGCTCAGTTTTATACTTCTTTTGGCATAAATAAGCCTTTTTAACATACGTGATTTCGAAATACACTTAATTTAAACTAAAATCTTCTTTCTTTAAGCAAATATTTTTAGATTTTTGGTAAAATACTTGAACTAAAAAAAGTTTTTTAGCCATTTTAAATCCCACTTCTTGTAGAACACAACCCCCACTTGTATCGCACTCCCCAAATCCCTGCCAAACCCATTTTGTTGTCATTTCCACACGTCCAAAAGAGACGACTTGTCCGCAGACAAAAATTGTTTTGACTTTAATGAAGTCAATTTTGGAAGTTGTTCCCAACGTCTCCTTATTTCCGCACCCCCACTTTTATCCACCATCCTTTGAAAAGTTCTTTACCCCCTTTTGTAATTGAAATTTTTATAGTTGTCGCACAGTTTGGTATCTCAAGCGAAAGAAAATGGTAGGAGGCTGGGTGAAAACTCGGCTGAGACAAACTTTTATCAGCGCCTGGCGCATTCTTTAAAACAATTTCCAGTGTCTACCAACCCCAACCATACCCAACCAGCCGTCCCTTTTTCCGCAACAAATTAATCCCTTTATTTGCATAATTGAAAAACATCAACTGAAGCAGTCAAAAAATATCAAGAACTCCGAGTTTGAATAGCCAGCGGGCAAATGTCCTCTGAGGGCGACGGAAAAGGATACACTCCGGTGAAGAAAATTATAATATGGATGTGTGTCCTTTTTGTCTAAAATTAGAATGACTACAAAGAATATCCTCAGTAAATTTTACAAAATGCAAATATCACAAGTTGGTCTCGTTTGGTCCCACTAAACTTCTTCATAGCTTAATTTTGATTTCAAACATTTTTTCAAGTGTTCAGGCCCGAACTGTCGCCACATTTTAATGTTGTTGGCGGCATCTCTGCCCTGGGGAGCTATTTAACATTTTTCCAACACTTTGATA